ATAAATCCTGTAAAATAATAATACTACAAAAGACTTGTAAAGGCGGAAAGGAGACACACACCCAATCCCCCCCCCCACAGGGAGAACATGCTATGTCAACCCAAGGAGCATGTTGTGGGATCGAGGGTCCCCTCCAACTGTGGGGAGCTTGCCCAGGGGAAAAATGGAGGCCCCACGCTTTGGGGTACACTGTACTTTGGGGGAATAGGGCAGCAAAAAAAAAAAAATGGATGAGGGAGAAAACCCAGGGACTGGTTGCCCAAGAAACTTTAGGGAATTTGGGAAAATAAAAAAAAAAAAAAAACACAACATTAGGGAGAGGGTCCCATCTAACAAACAAAACAAAAACTCCCCAGGTATCCAACTCTTGCTGATTCACTGATCCGGAAAGTCTTCTAGAGAGAATAGTGGGGAGGCCCCTGCAACTAGCATGCAGACATAAGAAAAAAAACAAACCACAAACCTAACTATGTTTTCCTGCTGGGTCTGAGGAAACACAAAAAAAACTAGGAGGTGGTTGGGAAGGATGGCCCCTTTTAATTTAATTGCGGATGATGCGTTTCCTGTTTTATGCGGGCAGAACCCCTCTCCTGTGCTGTCCTTGGCAACTAATCAATTATGAAAATAATTGTTAGCTGCTGCCCAACAAAGAAGTGCTCTAAATCAGTGGTTCTCAACCTGTGTAACCTCAGGACCAACATTTGTCCTTGGTCATTAAGTGGCGACCCACTGTAATGGAACGCACGGCATTGCGGTACCACGCGTTCCGGTGCAGGCTTTCGAACTGTGGGTGGGAGGTGCGTTTAGGATGCCATTCAAAGATCCACCCAGTTTCCATACCTTATGAGAGCTGGAGTGCATCCACAGCCTGGGGTCCAGTGTGGGCTGCTGTGCTGTGACGGAGCTCCATCCATATCTACAATGCTTGTACAGCTCCCTTGAGTGCCCTGTAGACGTGCTAGAATGTGACATCACTCCGGTCCAGGCACCTCTACAGGGCACGCAAGGGAGTGGTACGTGTGGATGGAGCTCCCTTACGGTCAAAGCCCCAGCCCATCCCACCTCAAGCTAACACTCGGCACCAGATTTTGAATGGCGGCTTGGCGAGAGAACTGACAGGAGGCGCTGAGGAGTCTCTCACCTAGCATAGCGGAAGGCACACGGCGACCCACTGAACATGGGGTCACGAACCACTTTTGGGTCACGACCCACCAGTTCAGAACCAAAGCTCTAAACAATGCTGCAGAACCATTAAAATTGTCCAAAGTTTCAGGATGTTAAGCAGAAGACGAGACTATTTTGATGACCAAGCCCTCTAACACAAACAGGGAGGCCAAAAACACCTCCCTAGCCTGATAGCCTGCCATCCTTTGTAACGACACTCAAAAAAAACATGCATCCTCCTAGGACATTAGCAAAAAAATGAAATGTGCTTGTGGAAGGGGATATCCTGGCCTGTCCTACAGTTTTATGTCCAATCCTCCTGTAGGTGGCAGCATAATCAGAAGATTAAGGACTCCCTGTGTCCCTCAAAAGGACAAGACAGAAAAGCTATTTACAACTGCATGTTTTTTTTTTTGCATTGGACATTCAGAAAAAAGGTAAAAAAGCCTTTCTACCAACTCTTGCTTCTGCAGTTCTAGCCAATAGTGAACCGTTTTTTTCTTGCCCCAATTGATTGTAAATAATGAATAACCCTTCAGTTGCTGGAAACTGCGGCAGCTCACAACATAAAAGTAAAAAAATAAAAATAAATGTACACTTGATTTTATGTATTATTTAGTGATCACTTTTATTGTGACTTGCGTTGAAAATAATGCAACTGAGCTTCATGTGTAAATATTCTGAGCACACTGGGAACTCAAAAATCAATGCAAAGTGGTGTTACCATTAACAACCAGACTCTAGCCTTCCAGTTCAACATAAAGGAAAACATTGGTTACCATAGGCAACAGCTCTATTTGTACTTTTTATATCATTCCCTTTACGTAGAAGCGTATGAGGAACGCTCGTCGGTCTAGTTACAAAGCACTCACTGGGATGAATAACTATGAAAAGAAACAATTTAGCAACACAAAACTGTTTAATATTTATTAAATGACACAAAATACCTAGATACAGACTCACTCTTCTTTGAAGGGACACATATTTACATTATTTATTATCAACTTAGAAAGACCTTGTACCCTTGTCATATGAAACATTAAAAAGGTTTCGAGTTTTGCCATAAAAGGATGTGATGCTTTCACACACCTTTTGTAAATCACATTGAGTTTTTGATACAGTGAACAGACACACCTAATGTTTCTTAAACCCACCACTGGAATGAAAATGCTCCCCTAAAAATCAAACCGGGCAATATTTTCACTCCAAATACTGAAAACTGATGTATGTATATTACATTTCTGAATGCTGCTGTACTCTTCAAGCCCTGCTCATTTAGCTCAAACCCCTCCAAGCACATTCCTGTAAAAGGGGGGTTGGGAATTGGGGTGCCAAACAGCCTTTTAATATTAAATTCTGCAGTGTTTTCCACTAACCTGCAGTGTTATGCCAGGGTGCAGTAAGCAAATGGCAAATTGTGCAACAATTAAAAAGCAGTTGCATTTACAATGAGACCACATTTAAAACAGATTTCTCTCTTTTGGGGGAAGTGAACGAGGATTAATTACTCACCAGGCCCACACAACTCTTCATGACTACTGTTAAAAGAGCTACTTTAATGCAAAGAGTAGCCGAGACAAGCAGGGCTTAGCTGAGTCACCTGTTGAAGCTTCTCCATATATTTATCTGTACACTAAAGAGATCATAGAACATTTACATTCTACATCTTCTAGTGCCTATGGATGCGACCCACGGTTGGGACCACAAACTGGATCTGAAAAATTGTTTAAGGTCTCAGAGACATGAGACAAAGAATGCACAATTACATACAAATCACTGAATTTCCTTAACATGAAAAAGCAGACATGTCAAAGATGCTATGCTTCTTCTGACCAAAATAAAAACAAATCCGGCTCTGTAGATCAATTTTTCCTAGTAACATTTTTCAAAGAAAAGATATTTTGTACAACTGGAGGTTAGACCCCAAACCCCACTACTTATGCAGACCACTCTGTCTTGAGGTTCCAGAAAAATAAAGCACACTTTCATTTAGGGTCACATCATCATAAAGGTTGAATGCCTCTGGTCTAGTGGTCTAAACACAGGAATATAAAGTAAAGTAGAATTGCTCCGACAAACTATTAGCACAATGTATGCATCGCTTTGAAAAATCATCTTGAACTACTTAAAAATGTCCGATTTTTTTATTTTTTAGTTGTCAGATGACTGTTTTCTCTCTCGGTGTCTGAAGGGTTAGTGCTGGTGTGATGCCAGCAACATATAAACTCCTTTAACATTGCTGCAGAGACAGAAATACCCCCCCCCCCCACCCAGATCTGCTGCATGCCTGTGAAACACTAGTGTGCAGTTCAGAGGATGTGGCCCTGGGTTGGCAACAGGAAAGCGAACTTGCACGCTATGCTTCGGCACTGCTGCCTGTAGCTCCCAAGGTGGAGTGAAAACAAGGGTGACAATACAAGAGCTGCAAAAGTAGCCTGTAGAGAGAATTGTGTTACCCTATCACAGGAAGCCAATAGAGGCAGAATAAACTGGCAGGATCACCAAGTAATTACCACGGTTTAACAACTACCAACCAAAATAGCGTGCACTATTACATTAAAGTAGATAAAATTGAAGATATGCACTCTTTGGGTTTGTAAACACTTTCAACAGGTGACACAGAATTGAAAAGTCAATCTCGGCCTGTAACAGCAGTGTCAGGTGTGAAGGAACCTTCCAACCATGAACCAAGAGATCTACAAAATGACCGGCAGGCAACTGGTTCCTTCATCTCTTCATCCAAATGGAAAAATAAAAAAATTATGGCTGGAGATTTTTCAAATATCAATTTAGATATGCTTCAATAAAAACAAAAATATGCAGAAACACTCAAATCTGTCGTCACCGAGTGTCATGTTTTAGGCTGCAGGACATAAAAAGTATTACAAATAAAATGTGAGCAAAATGGGAAAACCAACAACGTTTGGCCACAATTAAAATAAAAAAAATGTAAGTTTCTAATTTTCTGCATTTTGGCACTTAAGGAAAAAAATTCATAATGACACCCAAAATAAAAATAGGCAAAGTTCTCTAAGAAAAGAAAAAAAAAACTAAAACTAAAAGCAGTACGGTAGGAATTTTACTATTAAAAACAAATGTCTATCCATAACTTCCAAAAACTGCATGTTGTACACCACAAGCTCCAATGTAAACCCAAGATGAAGCCAGCTTAACAGTTTGCATCTCACTAGGTCATTATAAAATGCTTTCAGTATTGATATGGACAGCAGATGCAGTCAAATATACAATACTTTATTTATATTGCTTCTATAAGAATTAATGGAGTTAAAAACACCCCATAAAAGTAAAAGGGAAAAAAAGGGGGCTACTTTACCCTCACAGCTCCATTTCAAGAACTCAGTCTGTACAAAATTAGTCTACAAACATTTAAGTCTGGAGGGAAAAAGTGAAGGTGATTAAGCATTGATAATGATGAAGATGATGTCCACTGTTATTGGCTTCTAACAAGGTCATTTAAACCCAGGTGCTTAATATGCTTCCAAGATGCTTTCATGTCAACTTCTGTTCACCACTAGGAAAATGTAAACCAGCTCTTCATATAAATTAGGTTTGAACTCTACATAAAACATGCTGGTAGTTCACTTAGGGAAAATTCAACATAACTCAAATAGCCTTGTTCCTTCTTTTATATTTCGGGGCACATGGGGTTCATGGGACACATCTGCCTGCCCAGCTGAGCATTATTTCCCTACATTGTGAACATAACTCATCAAAAATAGACCACAGGCCGCAAGAAAGCAAAAATGTTTCTATACCCTTTATCATAAACCTACTCAAGCAAAGTACTCCCAGGTTTATGAGACACTTACACAGACTAGCCGACAACAGAAAGTATGTTCTTAAATACAGAAAGTGAGCACATTTGTAGCAGATGACTCCCAACCAAAGAGTCATTCCAACACAGGACAAAGTGAACATATAAAATGACCTCCTGGATAGACTCTTGGTGTGCTCAGACAAATACCTAACCTCTAAGTGCCCATCAGCCACTATCACATGACCGGCAAAAAAAAAAAACCTCACTTTGGTGAAACTTGTCAGGAGGCTGCACAACTGTTGAAAATGAGAATTAACAATCCACAGTTGCAGAAAGGTTACAGGCATTAAACACATGATGCTGCCCTACATTCCATAGCATACTATGCCAGCCAGAATGTCTCACCAATAGGTAAGGCATACAGCAAGAAAAGCTGAATTTCCAAAGATGACCAAAACGTGTCCAAAAGAATCAGTCTGTCAACCTTTAAGACGGAATAGTTTAATTGACAACATAAAACAAAAAGGCAAAACTGGTAATCCTGTACAAGGCTGAGTTTACTCCCGACACAAAATAAGGAGCAATCTATATTAGGTTAAGAACAAAGGGCTGGAACATAAAAATGATGAGTCTAAGTAGCAGAGCCTAGATTATCGTGGAACTACCACTTCAAGTGGAATATTACATTTATAAAAGCAAACTATTTTTTACCCAATTAAACCTTCCGTTATAGGGAAGGTGAAGCCATCTGTCTGGAGCATAGATTCTACTAATCTTTAATATAAAGGCACAACATGTACAGAACTCGTAAGTGATTTTGTCTGGGTCACAATTTGCTCAAAATATCACTAGAAATCCAGCCAACTAGCGGCTAAGAAAAGCCTCTGCAATGGCAAGAAGCATGTGCAGGAAGTCGTGTGAAAAAATGACATACGTTTGTCAGAAATTCAGAACAAGGTAACTGCTTAAAAATGTGCCAAAACAAAACGAGAACAAAATGTATACTGTACAAGCAAGTGTTGCTTATAGTGTTAAGATGAATGGCCATAAAAGGTTATGGTGGCTATCCCCCATGTTACTCCCCCAGCTTAGTCCACACCTTAAATATCAGTTGCATTTCTATAGGTAACATACCCTCAAGTTTACAACAGGAGCTAGCGATCAAAGCTCACAATGAATACATCTTTCAATGGATTGTGTACAATGTCTCTGTTTTGAAAGAGACAAAAGCACCAACTGTCCAGGTTAGGTTTAATTAGATGGCTTGAGACACTGGGCATCATGGAGCTTTTTTTTCACATGTTTAGCTGGCTAGGTTGCATGCAGCTTTTAAGCGCAAAGGATAGTATGCCGATTCCGCATCTTTTACAGTCATATCAGAGGCAGGAACAGGGGTCAGGTGACCATGTAATCATCTTCCGTCTGTCGGACAGATGGACCGACCAGAGCTCAAATTTTACTCTGGCAGCTTGCTGCGCACATCATTGTGAATAACATGCAAAACAAAGAGTTCAACAGCATTCTTGATAAATGTAAATTGTACTCTTTAAATGGGCATTCCAAATTGTTGAAAGAACCTTCTCATAATTTCCTCTTCACCTATACTTCAATTCAGTTATCGATGTTGTACAAAGGTAATTTCTCGGGATCAACAGGCTAAATTTTATTATCCACTAGATGCCCATTGAGACAAAGGGTTTTTTAGGCAACGTAATTGTACTGGTTTGGATTCTCTTTGTCTCTTTCCATGTAGTCCCTGTCTATTAGAGATTCTATTCTTTTCTTCAGATCTGCAGGCTGGAGGCAAAAAAAAAAAGAAAAATACATGTTAGATTCTTATTAACCTAAGGCTTAATATTTTGCCGACTGCATGTTAAAACATTTGGGATACAATGCGATTTAAAGCGGTCCGGTTAAATCTCATCCAGTTGGGAGTTGAACTCAAAAAGGAAACATGTTTGCTGTATGTGCTGAATATAATGTTCATTTTGTCAAGGGGGAGAGCTAGAATGTGGGTGGACTCTCAACATCACAAACAATGTAGGACCTGCAGTGGCCACTGTTCCTGCCTTATACGCGATGAGGTTGCTAAGAGCGCCAGCAAAACTAAACTAAGAGCTGCTTCCAGGGACCATTCTTCATACAAGAAGGGACCTGCAGGACCTTAGGTTAAGGCAAGTGTTCCTCTCTATTTGATGTATATTTGTTACATGTTCCCATTCACAGAGCATAAGCTAAAAGATATGTGGTTTGCAGTTTAAATTGCATTTACTTGAGTTAGGGTTTTTTGGGGGGCTTCCTAAGGGTTAATATTTCTACTTGCTCTTCTATCTTTGTAATGTTAGGAGGGGGTTTGTTCATTATAATTTGTAAAGTAGATTTGAACACTACCTGTCCTAACAAAGGGTTAAAGGACTACAATCCTTACATTGTATGTTAATGAAGTTAACGAGAGAAACACAATCCTCAAATTTCAGTCCCAATTCTTTCTATAAAAAGGACGGATCACTGCGGCGGTGCTCAGAAAAACCTAGATTTTTCGATAAGCTGTGTGAATGGGAACACAGAGAATCTCTCAAGTTTAACTGCAAAAGTGGAAATACACTTTCAAAAACAAATATGATCACCAGTGCTCAAAAAGGCAATTGCTTCGAGCTACTATGGAAAGCACTATGGCTTGGGTTGGCACTGCAGTCTCATTTCTCTGCACCTATGTGTCTTCTTAGAGAAGTGTTTTAACTTCAGTGCACCCAGAATGTGTTTTCAGAATACCCATAAAATTGCAAATACATTAAGGGACCTATAAATTATGATGTGTACTCCATAGAACATCACCTGTTTGGGGTACTTTGGCAATGGAGCTTTAAAAACACTGCAAACTAGCAAAAACCTTTTTATTTGGACAGAGTGGGGAGGGGAGAAAAGCAAAGTATCATGTTTGATTATCCATGTCCAAAATGGAGGAATCACAGAGGTGACAGGGGGTCAGGAAGGGATAGAAAAGCTATCCAATGGAGAAAGACCAAATAAAACCCAAAACACTTTCTTAGAAGAGAGGAAAAAGGTTTAGGGCCTCTGACATTTTTATAGCAGTCAGTGCCCTTTTGTCCCACTAAAGCCCATCCTCATTTCTCTTCCACGGGTCTTCAGAAGTGAGAGTGAATCTCCCTAATGGGGTCACAAAAAATACATTTTACAGGGCCCACAGCTACAGTATGGTTCCTTTTGTTACAATTACTCACCTTTACTGGAAATTTAAGCTGGTTGTACACCTCCGACACCAACAGATTGTGGCTAAGTGTCTTCCTCATCTTCATTATTCTAACAATGGCTGCATCAATTTGGTATTGCCTGTCTTGAAATACTCGCTCTGTAGTGCTGGCTTGTTCTTCCACCTAAAAAGTGAAAAAAATACCAATCAGCCTGAGCAGGCATGTTTAAACTGAGAAAATTGACCATTTTAAGATTTTTTTTAAAAAAAGGTAATTTTGAAACTGAAAAGTTGGGACATTGCCATGTTTAACACAGTGTAGCATCCCCTCTTCTTTTAACACTCTGTAAACGTCTGGTAGCTGAGGAGACCAGTTGCTGGAGTTTTGGCAGTTGCTGGAGGAATGTTGTCCCATTTTTGCCTGATATAGGATACTAACTACTCAACAGTCTTGAGGCGTCTTTGTCGTCATTTTTTGTTTCAATTGGTGAAAGGTCTGGACTGGCAGGCCAGTTAAGCATCCGCACTCTGAATAAAATATGGATTTATGAGATTTGCAAATCATTGCATTCTGTTTTTATGTAGATTTTTTAGAATTGGGTTATCTAAAATAACAGTCTTCAGCACCTACAAACTACATGAATTGTCTTTAGGTAATTGTGTTTAAAACGTACGCCCAGTCAGAAAATAAAAATCAAAAACATGCAGTTGATCCTTTCAATCATTGCACATTTCCCCATGTTTTATCCATTTAAAGACCCTACAAGTACAGAAAATACCTGTTGCAAACTTGTTGAACTTGCAAACATGCGCTAAAAGATACACCATTTTTCTCTTGTGGAAAGATATCACATGACTTTTTTGTGGCCTGAATTCATAAGAATCGGTGTCAGTCCTGCCCAACTCTCTGTTAATCTACTAAATTCCTCCTGTTCTCCTTAGCTCCACAGCATAGGAACTAATAAGATTGCTCTGCAGTGCAAGATAAGAACTGTGTAATAGAGCCTGTATTCCTCAATTGTTCACTTTAAAAAGGAAATTTCAGGAACCGTAAAAAGGTGACTCTTGCAGTGGGGCTACCCCCGTACTGATAGGGTTAAATGCCTGATCCTCAGTCCTGCAATGGTCAGCGCTTAAGAAGCTGTGGAGACTGGTCCAGCAGCCAGGTGGGACAGAGGATCAGGTTAGTATATCTTTAATATTTGAGCCCCTAGACCAAAACGAGCATTGGACCCTTGAATTGTGGGGGTAACCCCAATGCCAGGGTTCCTGGAGTTCCTCTTTAATTACAGAATACACATTTTACTATGAAATCTTCAATATACCGTTTCCTTCATCTGAATCTGATTGATCCTTATTCTGAAGAGCTGATGCCTGAAGTCGTCATTAAAAGTAAACTTGTCGCCATCATCTACATCTTTACTCTTCGGATTCTTAGCTAGGACCCTGGCTCTTCCACAAGCCAATGACTGGAGCGTTCTTCTTAATTCGCTATCCTCTAAGAAAATAATGCACAATAAATAAGTACACACAAAAACAAAGCATGATTAACATAAAAACTGCAGGGAAAAAAAAATCTACATCAGCATACGTTACCAATGCCAGTTGCTTGTCTAATTTCTTCAAAGCTAAATTCTTCTCCCTCATTGAACATAAGCAATACAAGTGTTTGGAAGAGTGAAACCTGCAGCTCCTTTTTACCCTACAAGTATAAAAAAGCAGTCCATAATGCAATACTACATTCATACATCCTATTTTTGCAGTTAGCATAGAAAAGCACATGCAGCCCAGACAGAATATGGAGTATGTGAAATTAAACAAGCCAGGAAATTGGTCTTGTAAAGGCACAACTTCTATACGTAATCTTTGTTCTGAACATAAACATTAAATCAATGAGAAAAGCTCCCAGAGCACCGTGGGTCATCTAAAGACCACCAAGTAGAGCAGCTCATTTTGCAGCCCTGTTAGTCTGATAAAAAACCTTGTACTGGGCTGTCTAATAAGGGGGTCAGTTACTGGTCTAATGACTTGTTCAAGTCCAATAAACAACTGGCTTAATTCAGCAAAAGCTGTTAATAATCATGTGAAAACAGCCTCCTAAGTGCCCTGGTGCCTGCACTTCCTTTTGGAGTGAACAGTCACTCCAGCCTGGTTTCTGTGGGCTGAGCAACTGGTCCCCTCAAGTTCTGCGTCAGGCATTGCTGACATCAGCTGGCTGGCTGATAGCAGGATGCAGAGTACCAGCGCTCTTCCCAGACCGGCTCTGCTATGTCCTGTGCCCCCCCCGTCAATCCTTGCATTGCTCCATAACAGTGTTTCTATGCTGAGCCCTGCTGATGGTTTTACCTTGACAATCCATGTCCTCTCGTCAGCTCAGCATTGAGAACAGGAACAATGTAAAAGAGCAATGTACGCTCTATTGCTATGCAGGCTTCCTCATTCCGATACGCCCCATGACCAGCTCCTCCTGTATCTGTATCCCTTTATCTGTCCATTCATGTTTCTACTGCAGTGTTCCAGCTCTCAGCGCTGCCCAGCTGATAGTTCTACCTTTGCAAATGCAAAGTCCCTCAGCTCATTGGCAATTAGAACCTAATAATTCATTGACTTAATAATTAATAGTTAATTGACCGCAATTATTTTCGTTTGCGCATGCGCAGTGTTAATCGTACGACTTTTGATGGACGTAAACGCCACCAACCATGCGAACATCGTGCGATCGGCCAAAGTTTTCAAAACATGCTTGACCGTCAAAAGTCGTACGATTGTACAGTACTATCGGTCGGGCACTCTATTCACACGTTACGATAGTCGTACGAAAAGTCCATTGCATACGATTATCGTCCGATAATCGTAAGGTGTATGGGCACCTTAAGGACTCTTGGGCAATTCGTTGACACCAGAACAGGTGTCGCGATTTGAAAGTTTCCCCTCCCCTAATGTTACTGCAACACCTTTAAAATGTTGGCTTTCCTATCACTTTCTGTACTACAAAAATGACCAATACAGAGGGGTGAATCTCTTCAGCTGGGGTACAGGCAGCAACAAAACTTAGATTTTACCAGTTCCTCACTATATCCCCAAAAAAGTGTTGGAAATACATATACTTTAAACACTGAACTTTTTCCTTTTTTTTTTTATCTTATCTCCTCAATTTCCAGGTAAGCTGTGCGTTTCTTGAAGTGGGTGGAGAATGTTCCTTAAAAACCACCTCCATGATGTAAATATCAAATCTCAAAAGGCAAGTGTGCGACTGATTGCCACAACTGTTGTTACATTGAGAAAAAAAAGTTAGCTGAAAGCAAGAGTAGAAAACTTTAGACCTTCTGTGAGGAAAATGTGCTGAGCACACAGGCGTGAAGAGAGAGAACAGCAACAAATGGACTGTCCCATCTTACCTCATTAAACTCTGCCTTTAAGACACATTGTCCCAGAGTTGACTGCCACTGTAGCTTCCTGCCACTGTGCTTTCCAAGATAAAAGGTCTTGAATATCTCCTGAAGTTTCACCATCTAGACAAAGAAAAAAAAAAAAAAACAGTATGTAGAGGAGAATACGATTGTTAAAATATACGTATATACCTAAAAATGAACCGCTCTCATTTGCTCCATTTTAGTTGGTTAAATATACCACTGTAAAAGGTTTGTCCTGTGCACTGTGTCATCAAGAAATATACTACTAAAGGACTACAGAAGACCTCCCCTATGTTATGCAGAGGAGAGGGTATGTGTTTTTATACCAGGGTAACAATGGTGTTCTTCCATGGATTCAGTATGTCGAGTGGCTGACTAACTGTAGTTCTGGAAGTGTGCACCTTGTTCATTTATAAGCATTTTGAAATATGTTCTATAGACTGACAAGGAATTTTATTGTCAGTATAGTTCCATTATCCATAACTAGTCATATTCGAAGGAACCATGAATATAAGAGAGTACACTGGAGTGGCCAGATTATTATGACCACCCCATCAGTACTTCGTTGAGCCACGAGATGACTCCACGAGATGCCTTTGTTGGGCCGCCTCGTGACTCCACGAGATGTTGAAAGGTGATGCGAGGAATCTGACACTGCACTGTTGCCCTTCTGTTGTCTTGTACCAGTCTTGCCACTCTCTGTTCTGCCCTAACATTGACTAGTCGCTGACGGCCACAATTCGCATGTTCAGACCCAGATTTTCGTCTGACAGTCCAGTCTTTAAACACTTTAACAACGGCTGCTCTTGAACATTTAATGAATTTGGCTCTTTTGCGATTACTCGCTCCATGGCCCCGAGCGCCAACAATTATCCCACGTTAAAAGGCTGTTAAATCGCGTTGTTTACCCGTATCTTCAGAAAAAAAAAATCACTTCTACTGTCGTGGTAAACAACCTGCTTCCCTATTTATAATGGTCTGGCCCTCTAGCAACTTCAGCACGAAATTATAGCTAATTAGCCTACAAACGTCAGGTGGTCATAATAATCTGGCCACTCAGTGTATTCGGTCATAAAAAATTATTACTTTTTTAGTTAAGTCAATCCAGAACACAGACACACCAAATGGTCTAAAAAGAAAAAAGTACGCTTTATTAGATTTTGGACAAAGCTCTGAAAACATTCTGAGGGGAATTTATCAAAACTGGAGCAGACAATCTGGAGCAGTTGCCCAGGACAACCAGTCAGCTTCTCAGTGTGTTTAGTTAAGATTTGAAAATGAAATAGAGCAGCCGATTGGTTGCCATGGGCAACTGCTCCAGATTATCTGCCCCAGTTTTGATAAATTCCACTACGAACGTCTTTAGAACTTTGGCAAAAAAAATTCCCCTCAGAGTGTTCCAATTTCTCCAAAATTAAGGCAACAGATGGGCAGCAAAATTATTTTGTTCACAGCACTATATAAAGGGCTTGCATGTCTACATCCAGATATATAATAATTGCAGCATCAATGATTTAGATTTTATTGATCTCAAGCAGATACAGAACCATATGGATAAAGGAAGCTTTAAGTAAATAGGATACAACAATACTGGGAAACACCCAACTTAAAACTAAATCTTGAGTGCAAACTCAAAAAGTAACGCTACACTCAGGAGTTAAATATTAAAAATGCATTGAAGTACCTTACCTAAAAACAAAAATGTATCTTATTTGTGTATCACTCAGCTGTAGATCCTCAAATCATCTCTGAAATGGTGCTGACACTGTCCTTCCTTCTGGAGGGGGGCTACTTTTGTTCTCCATGTCCCTGTGTGTGTTGTAAAGTAGATACCGCTCCAAGCTTGCTCCTGTGATGGACTACAATGTATTGAGATTGTAGTCTATCATGGGAGTGAGCTTGGAGTGGTGTCTACTTTTACAACACACACAGGGACATGGGGAACAAAAATAGCCATCCTCCATTTAAGAAACTGCAGCGGAGTGATACATAAAAGTTACATTTTTGGTAATAGTTGGGGTACTTAGAACACATTATTAGGACTTAACTCCTGGAGTTTAGCGTCCTTTAGTGTAACAAATACATCCAAAACATTACCTCAGCAGGCAGGTGAACTTCCATAGGCACATATGTTGGCCAGTAACCCATTGTAAGGATATTCACAGTTAATTCAATGTTACCAGGAACATTCTGATTCTGCATGTACTGGAAGAAATAACCACCATCAGAATTAATTTGTCAAAGCACGTAAAACTATATCAATTCACATTTTCATTGGCTGTGTACCTGTTTAAAATGAACCATAATGTCTTTAGACAGTTCCATGTCTTTGAACATCCCCTCAAGCTTGCTGGTAAAGGCCGCTCCACATTCTAGACAAAAATACAAATTGCTACAATAATATTTCTGCCATTAATGCATTTACCTACATGAACAGCCAAATATTAGGCGGCTGATATTTTGCAAAAATGTTAGAGCATGTACAAGACAACTAAAACGCAACTGGATAGCATAGGTCAAGTCCCATAAACCCTAACCAGTTTTTTTTATGAACAGAAACTCACCAGCTCCATCTTCCCAACAGAAATATAAACAGAATGAGAGGGCAATTCACAAACATGAAGTGTGCGCCAAAATTATGGAGTAAACATACTTTCACCATACATTTATATAGCCAATTTTGGATCACCAGAACTGGCACATGTTGAGCCACCAGGTTAAACATGCAAAACACCTCAGTATGCTGTGAGCGTTTTTAAACTTTGAACCCCAGAACTCTGTAAACGACATCTTTTCTACACCTTTTAAATTGATTCAAAGTGAAAAACCTTTTTACAAAAATACGGTATTGGTATGACAAGACCAGACCTAAAGTGGAGCTACAGCCCAACAATGAAACAATGCTGGCAGGTAGGGTTTAATTGCAGAAGAGACTCTATATGTATAAAAGCTCCTCTTCTCTCTATCAGTAATGTTTGTTTTGAATGTACGCGGAGCCATGCAAGTGCTGCTGAGTGTGCATTCCCGGCAAACTTTGGTGCCAGGATGAATTCACTTTATTTTGCATGCACAGGGAGTTAGGATATCCAGGGTCAGCCAGTTAAGATGGTCAAAGACACTAACAACCCCAACCCTTGTACAACATGCACATAAAAAAAAACAAAAAAATATTGAAAGTGGGCAAGACGATCGCATTGCTGGAGGGTAGGTAAGTACAGCAGACTTAAAAGAGAACTATGGGGTAAGTTTTTTCCATATAGTTCTCTTTAGGGTCACAGGAGGACATATACTAACATCCTCCCGTGACCCAAAGCTCAGTGTATAGCGAGCCAATGCCCGCAATATACTGAGCGCGCCACAACCGGGACAGATCCCAACAATACTGTCGAGATCCACCCAGCAGTGAGTGACAGCGTTGGAGGATCAGAGAGGGGAGGGAGGAATCCCTGCAGGGAGAGGTGACCATCAGGAAGTGAGCGGATCGGTGCATGTTTATGCTCACTTCCCGATCAATAGAGCTGACCTGTGACAGATTCTTTGTCACAGGTTGGCTCTAACTAGGAGGATGAGTGGAAAAAAATAATCACTCACCTCATAGTTCTCCTTTAAAGTCAAACTTTGTCCTCCCATAAAAATAAATGTGTAGGGCGGTGGTGGATGCCGGAGTGTGCTGTGAGCAGTTCTGTCTGGCTTCCCACCTAGCACACTGATGTCACTGGTTGCCAGGAGCTGGGTGTGACACAAGCCAGGACCGCTCCCAATGTTCTTAGAAACCTGGGGCGCTGGGGCTGTGTCCCCCCACCCCAAAACACCCAGCTGCCCCAACTGTGAGCTGTAGTGTCTAGGAGGGGAGCATGTGAACTATGCAAGGAAACGGGTCAGGAAAGGTAAAGGAATTTCTTTTTTACTTTGAGTTTTCTGCATCACATAGTAATTGGATTGGGTCATACTGCCTTCAGTTGTACTTTAACCCCTTCGTGACGGGAGACGTACAGTGTACGTCTTGTCACTTTGTGCCTATATGACTGGCCACGTACACTGTACGTGACGAGTTATATCAGGCTTTATTTAAACAAGACTCTTAGATGGTCACTGCGTTGGCTTCAGGGCCCTGCACAGCCCTGAAATGTTCATTTATTGACCTATGTGATGTATTTGCAAGAGAAAAAAACTAAATTTGCACTTTGAATTGCTGAGTGCTGGTGACTTATCTTTCAATACCTGAGGCTTTGCATGGCACTATCTCACCCACTACTGCTCACAAGACTGTATGGTGTGCAGCTGGTATCTACATTGAGTCTTGAAGTAAGTTCAAGTTTACTCCGAGGTTTCCTGATTTTAATGAAGCATTCCGGTATAGTTTGTTATTCCCAAAGAATGGCTTCCATTTCTATTTTTCAAAGAACCATTGTAATAAACTTTGCAGGATATGTTTGGGTTAAAGAATTGTTCGCTACATTTGACAGAAAATGTGCAATGTTTATGACTGATTTTATCAATGTTTGCCAGAACTCATTGAGGTTGTGGAGAACCAGATATGCCCGTTACCAAATGAATATGTACTACAATATTTTTGTTGTGTACCAAAACATTTGAGTCTATTCCTGTTGAGACAATTAAAGACTCTTGGAATTGTAAAAATTAACCCTTGCAGAGGGGCTACCTCCACACTGCAAGGATTAACTGCTCATTTTGGTCTAGGGGCTAAAATAAAGATGATATACTCACCTGATCCTCAACCCTGCCTGGCTGCTAGACGAGATTCTGCAACCTCTTCTCCCCCAGGTTTTGGTGGACTAGGGACCCAGGACGTCATCATGCGTAATGCAAGTGCATTAGATGTGAAGACGCTTAGGGACAGTTCATGACCAGAGCAGAGGGGGAGAGAGATGAGTGCTGACCACAACAGGACAGAGGATCAAGCGAGTATATCTTCTTTATTCTGCCCCTACAGAAAAACAAACAGGTAACCCTTGCAGTTTGGGGGGTAGCCCCACTGCAAGGATAACATTTTACAATTCCTGGAGTTCCTCTTTAAGTTGTTGAAGAGGTCTCTCTAGCTCATGTGCATACCTAAATATAGAAGACCATTTCGAAAACATCAACTTCTAATAAAGAAAAAAGGGACTTTGGTGCACGGCCAATCCCAAAACGCTGAATAATACGAAGAGGGGATAGAGAATTTATCAAAACTGGGGCACACAGAATCTGGATCGGTTGCTCCTATTCAGTTAAGCTTGGAAAATGAAAGATAGACGCCGTTTGGTTACCATGGGCAACGGCTCCAGATTTTGTCTGCTCCAGTTTTGATACATTTCCCTCAGTGTTCTTACCATGCTTAAGTTTAGAGAGCATTGATTTCTCAGCATCCACAGAAGCACTTTTTCCAACCAAGAGTCGTTTGGCTAGGTCTTTTTTGTAGAAGGCCTCAAAGACATCCTTTCCTGTAAATGAAAGATCATATTCCTGTAAATAAAATGTCATATTCCATTATGTTGCATGCATTTAAATAATTCCAGCTTACAATATAAAGGACTTAAGATAAACTCTAGAATTTCATTTTCCAGAGTAATACTTTGTTATGTGAATGTCATTTGACCTTATTAACTGGGTTATCTTAAAACGCCATACTTACAGGTTCAGCACATCCAGCGCAGTCCTGCTGCAATCCATTGCTGTGCCACTGCATGGGCGAATGGGACATTATTCTTGGCTAGGCGTGAATACCATAAGTGCTCGGAAAGAATAAAAAAACGTGCTCCCCATTTCCACCGCAGTCTCGCCGATAACTTGTTTCCTTTCCGCACTCGTCTCCCTCCCCAATTCCTCTGATAAAGCGAGAGAGAAAACTTCTTAAACTGTTAGACTTTTGAGGAAGATGGGATGCTCTTGCAGGGGTGTTGAATGCCTATCGCCCGGGACATGCAGTTTCGGGTGCCGGGCGAGTAGTAATCACAGCGCCACCTGTCTCAGCATGCTGCCTCCGACCTCTGCATGCAAATAAACGCACGCATAGAACCTTGTGCGTGTGTTGAGTGCTGCCGCCATTTCACTGTGCCATATTGTGGTAGCGAGGCAGCAGAACCCTCCCACACGCACAATGTGCATTAAAGGGCAAGTTCACTTTCCCAGGTAATATGAGAAAATGGAATTACCCGATCAAATCTGGCCCCCGTCTCTCCCAAAACCCCCCAGCTATACTTACCTTTCGGCAAACAGTCCTTACCCGGTACTGTCCAGCGCAGTCCTGCCCTATGCATTTTGAATTTCGCTCGCAAATTGCAAGCACTCATTGGTCAGCGTGGTCTGGGGACCTATTTAGCACAGACCACTACAGTTTTGATTAGGGATGCACAGATAGAGTATTTGGGCAAGTACTTGTACTCGCCCAAATGCTCGATACCTTCTCCAATACCGGAACCTCTGGTCAGAGAAGATTTCCTCTGACCGGCAGTGCCGTAGGGGAACATGGAGCTAGCTTCCCATGCAATCAGGAATCGGGGCAGCGACTAATGACCCGCCTCCCAGTTTCCTGATTGGCCAGGAAGACAGCTCCTTGCTGATTGGCTGGGAAGCCAGCTTCCCAGCCAATCAGCATCGAGACGGCTTCCTGTCCAATCAGGTCATTACTCGCCGCCCGGTTTCCGGATTGGCCAGGAAGCTGGCTCGATGCCAATTGGCCGGGAAACCGGCTTCCCAGCCATTCACAATGAAGCCGGCCGAACAACATGGAGTCGGCTTCCCTGGCAGTCAGGAAGCCGGGTAGCATCTCATTACCTGCTGCCCGGCTTCCCGATTGCCCGGGAAGCCTGCTCCATGCAAACGGAAGCACTGATAAGCAAAATATCGGTACTCGTACTCTACACACAAAAACCGGTATTGGTGCATCCCTAGTTTTAATTAAAACTATTTTTTTTTTTGTATTGGGACAAGTAGATTGTTATGAAGGACAAGTAGATTCGGCCCCCGCTTTAGCCCTTGGACAAGTAGTTTTTTCAAAAATGTCCACACCCGTCTTGCCACCAGTAAGCTCTTTGATAATTGTATCAAGAGTAGGTCTGAAGACACCACCTCTCTTGAATGCCATGTGTAGCAGACATGACTTATGCAATGCAGCAGATTAAAGAAAGTGTCCAACACAAGAGACTCATGCGAGAGATAAGCCAGGAAGCTAATCATTTCAACTGAAGTTTAAAGCTACAGCCAGGGCAGCTATCAGGGGTGTACGGCCGATACTCATGTAAGGGGCCAGGGCAGCCTGGGGGGCCCGACCGGGTCCCTTACATGACTATCGGCCACCGGTGAAGGACGAGGAGGCGGAGGCCCGGCCCTAGCAGCGCAGGTCCCCAGCATTGCCACTCCAGTGGCTTTGAGACAAGCTAGGGCCCCATCAGCGACGCTGCTCGTCTGATGTCGGACTGGCCAGAAGTGACGTCACGTTAGTGACGTCACTTCTGGCCAGTCCGGCGGCAGACGAGGCCATGTGTGCATGTAAGAGGAGCTAGAAAGGAAGGAAAGGGGGGAGGGATGCAGCCCTGACCAGCCCACCTGAGACCCCTTCAGAGCCCACCATAGACAGTCTCAGTGGGCTGTGCAGGGTCACTCTCAGGTGGGTCCTGTGTCCAGCGCGTCACTAAGCCCTGCGTCCAGCGCGTCACTAAGCCCTGCGTCCAGCGCGTCACTAAGCCCTGCGTCCAGCGCGTCACTAAGCCCTGCGTCCAGCGCGTCACTAAGCCCTGCGTCCAGCGCGTCACTAAGCCCTGCGTCCAGCGATGCAGGAGGGGGCCTGGCCTAAAGCCGTGTAAGGGGCCCCAACATTTCTGATGGCTGCACTGGCTACAGCCATTTGCTCCCTGCATTAAATAACCAAGGGATCAACCTCAGCAGTGGTAAGATCTCTTTTAAAAGGATTTTGACGCGTCACCCGTGGTTTGGCACAGCCAAGTCAAAAGCTAGAATAGTGTAAAGAGCAGGGTGCACTAGAAAGAACAGAGGCTTGAGAATCTTCAGAGCATCAGACGGGAGTGAGCGGCAGAGACACATGTACGTTTTTACCCATTTGGTAACTTTTTTTTTTTTTTTTTCTGTTTCACTGACAGGAGCAACAGTAGCAACAGTGTGGTGCGCACTGCATTGATAAGAGCAGAAAGAGTCTTTAACTTAAGGCCTGATTCACACCTGGTCGTTTTATAGCACGTTCCTACGCGCTGTAAAACACTCAACATGTGAAAACCAATAATTGCCTATGGGCATGGTTCCCACCTAGGCGTTTTACAGTGTGTAGGACCGCGGTAAAAAAGCCCTACGCCCAAAGAAGTACAGGAGCTTCTTTGGGGCGTATTTGCCGCACGTATCCATTAGGATACAGCCCCATAGCCCTAGGAAACGTGCATTTGTCACGCATATTCCGTACGCCCAGGTGTGAACCCAGCCTTAGAGTAATGGCAGTGGACCGATAGTCGTCGGGGTCAAATTCATCAGGCAAATACTGAAGTGATTTAGAATTAGACACTCCGTGGCTGAGGGCATACAAACCACCAGGGATGTGGGGAAAAACAGATAATCTGTGGTAGAAGGCTTGGGAGTGCACTTGACCTCAGGGTGATTTGGGCCATAAAATCTTGCGTTAATGTAGTTAAAAACTCTGCTGAAAGGGCAGAGGAACCAGACACACCTGAGGGAGCTAAAGAGGACTATGACGATGGAATAGACTATGAGCAGAGGGCATCGGCAGGCACTTCAGCAAGCAGCCCCGAAACCGCTAATAAACTGAGTTGAGGGCACCCATTACAGTAGGACTGTCTTGTAATGTCCAGTTCAGTAGGAACAGGAGTGCAGCACTTCAAAATGCAGGCTGAGGATGACCAGCAAGCTGTAAATCAAAGCTCTAGCAGCAATGTACAGAAAAGTCTTGACTAAAAAAAGAGGAATGGAATCAAATAGGTTAGTCTTCCACACAGCACAGCTGAGGAAAAGACTTCCATCTTCCAAGGACACTAGCAAAAAACTAAAGCATGCTGGTAGTGGGAGGTGGTTATCTTGAATACCTACTGTTTTATGTTAGTGTTTAATCCTACAGTAGGCAGCAGTATAACCCAAAAGGTGAAAGGCATCCCATTTCCCTCAATAGACAAGAAATACATTTCTTTTAGTCCTGATGTTAATGCTCATCAGGACAAAAAGGTGAAATGCCCCAACTGGATCACAAACGGCAGTAAAAACCAGATAGGGGTTCTAAGATTTCACAAAATACTAATAAAATAACCTTTATACTTCATAGAAGAAAGGATCAAGAGTCAACAAAATGGTGGTAGAATCCTCTATAGAAAATGGGAAGTTTCAATATTGCCATTAAAAATAGAAGACACAAAGTGACCAAGGCACTAAAGTAAAAGCAAACATAGTATAACAGGACAGGAGGGGAATAGAGGAACACTCATTGGTACAGAGACTATTCTAAGAAAAGTAAAATAAGGTTTTGTAATCAAAGATGATATCAATGCAATTAAAGCAGATACTGAGGTTACCATACAAAACTTAGTCAACATCACGTCAGTGCCCCTCTCCCAGCCACCACTCCAGTAATCAAGACTGTTTTTCCTATAACAGCACACCCATCCTCTATGGTCAGGGTAAAAGCCATGACTTCTAGGGTATTTCTGGTCCGATACGCTTTGTTTTCTAGGCACCAGCTGACATTAGTTTTGCCTCATGTACAATTCTAAGGAAAAGGCTAATGCAATAATTGTACAGGGTTTGGGTGACATGTATGCCACAATTATTCCCTTAGGCACAAACAGGGAGAAAAAAGCAAAAAAACTATTGTGAACAGTTATTAGCAAACTAATACACTTGCAGTGTATTTTTTTTCAATTGAACAAATTCTAGGATATGATCCTTAACATAGGGACACATAAATTGCATTAGCAAGAACACACAATAAGTGCAGGTTCCCACATTCATTAACCTACCATAGATGAACCTAAATATAATCATGATTTTATCCAACATTTTTTCAAGCTCTTCATCTGTAGCTTCTTTGTTTCCAGTTCGAAGTTTTGAATCCACATACTTTGCTGTAAATTTAATAAAAACTACATTAGAAGAATAAGATTAGCCAGTGTGACAATGTACACTAGATGTCATAAGCCTTACAAATATGTGCACCATTAACACTTGCCTGATCAGTGTGTTTGTATTTATTTAATCAGATTACATGTGTAACAAGTAATGTCCGTTTCAGGCTATAAACACATCTAAGAGGCAGGGTACAAAGTATTACATTTATGTGTGGGAGTTCAGAAGTAAACTGAGTTACCATGACAACCATTTAAATTATCTGCCAAGATACAATATTGAATATCATTACCTATAAGCTCAGCTGGTTTGTTTGGTCGCTTATTAATGAAGGTTTCAAAAGCTTCTTTCATGGCATTGACAAACTTCTCATTTTTCATGAAACAAATATCTATCACATGGTCAACTTTGTCTTTGAAGTCAAGCAATTCTTGTACCATAGTCCTATCCTTTTCTGGATTAATCACAATCGTGCTGCCAAAAGCCTGAAAAAAGATTATTAAATTTTACTTAAATCTATGTTAAAAAGCTATTAAAATGTGACAATGCTGGCATAACAACGGGTGTCTACACCGCTGCTAAAATGTGACAAATACTGGTATAAGTGGCGTCAACAACTCGATTGGTATAAGCCATAACAGTATTTTTGTACTCGCAATTAAATTCTTTTCTTTGAGTATACTGAGGAACACATTAAGTCTGAAACCTTCAGGACAATTGGACACTGACAAACAAATACTGTAAGCCAGCCAATGATAACCCCTACCAATAGAAGCATGCCTGTTTTTAACAATCAGTATCGAGATCACGATCATAAACACAAAGGACTGGGATCTGACAATCCGGCAGAGCTCACGGAGCGTCTGCTAGGAGTCTTATCATGTTGGCACACCACAACTGTCTCAAAGAGTCTGGAAAACTGAGGATCACTGGAATGCCTTCCAGCTCTATCCTGTGATGTAGACAAGGAAGACGTTTCAGGGAACGAAAGGCATAGATCAGTGTTTCTCATAACTGCTTGATGACCTATAGCTGGAGAAAACCTGTCCAGTTTGTTGTTGAACTTGGAGATCCACATCACGTATCACCCACCTGTGGCCAAGGTCCTGGAACACCTCCAGATGTAGGGACCAATCCCACAGGCCGATACCTGGGAAAGTCTGCCTGTCAACTGTCTACACACACGGTGGAAAAGTTGGGAACATGAACAGGACAAGATCCCCATTGGATGATCCTACACGCAGCGTGGTCCAATGCTATAGGAGACAGCCCAACTGCCTGAAGTTTCAGGATGTTGATTGGGAGAAGAGACCCCTCTCCCGACCAAGTCCCCTGCGCAAACAAGGTGCTCAGGACTGCTTTCCAGCCTGAAATCGGTTGTAAGGACCCTCCAAAAAAAAGGGGCAGACTTCCCTGAATCCAGAGTCTGATTCCTGAGCCACCAGGACAGGGACAACCTGATAGAGAGAATGTTGCATTGAAGAGGTCTGGAATTAAACTAAGGAAATTGGCCTGCCTTGAAAGAATACTTTTAAATCTAGGTCTCTTATGCAAAAGTGGAGTGTCAGACAGCTCCTGGACTAAAGAAGCCAGAAAGTATCTCTGGTGAATGGAGACAATAACCGATATGGTAAATTCCATGCGGAACTTCTGGACTCAAATGAAGACATTCAGGGGCGTGGCCTGGACATGGAGCCGTGAGGACGCGTATTGGGAGAGCTCTGCAGTAACCGAGCCGGACCCACGTTTTAAGCTGACTTTTCATCGAAACTTACTACATGCGCAAGGAACAGAAGATCCACGGCACTCACGGAGACCTACGTCCCACATAGCTGTACGATTTTTTCGCCCGCCGGCCCTCGACACCTACAGCCTCGTCCCCGTCCAAGATGGCGCTGACCCGCTCTTCGGCGGCAAGTCTCCAGTCGGGTAAGAAGCTGGGTCATGATGTTGGGTGACTTAAACTTTGCGCTTGATCCCCTACTGGACGTATCTAGAACAGCTTCCCACCTCCCCTATTCCCGCTTACGGAGACTTAAATCAGAGCTACACCTCCTCAGACTGACTGACGTCTGGCACACCCTGCATCCACAAGTCAAAGACTTCACATTTTATTCCTCTGCCCACAACACGTATTCGCGCCTCGACTATTTCTTTCTCCGCCACAAGGACTTATCATTGGTCGTCGACGCGTCGATTGGTGACATTCTGTTGTCTGATCACGCCCCAGTTCACATAGCGCTAGACCTCCTCCCCTCTGTCCCCAAGAGTCCCTCGTGGCGTCTAAATGAGTCTTTATTGCAGGACCCAGGGATACGCTCCGAGCTAGAACGAGAACTCCTCCGAATCCCTGGCACCCTCGGTGGTCTGGAAGGCGCATAAATGCGTCGTTCGGGGCGTCTTGATTCGGCACGGAGCCCGTAGGAAGCGGGAGGGGAAATGGGACGAATGCCCCTTTTGAGCTTCGGAACAGTGGAACTGTTCTGCCACAGGAACTGTGCAATTATTATTATTATACAGGATTTATATAGCGCCAACAGTTTGCACAGCGCTTTACAATATAGGGAAGACATTACAATCACAATACAAATCAAGACAAGATGGTAAGGAGGGCCCTGCCGCTGAGGGCTTACGATCTAAAAACACCTTGATCTAGAAAAATAAAGAGGGCTCGATAGAGAGCTGATAATTTGTGCAGTGACACATGAAGGTTTGAGGTAAGAAAGAAAGGAGGAGGCAGAGAGAGAAACTTCAGTTTGAAGTCATGGGATACCACCTCCTGTATTCAGGCGTCTGACATGCACATTGTCCAAGCATCCACAAAGTTTAACACATGTACCTCCACTGTGTGGCGTACCTTCGTGCAGAAAAAAGCATTGCTGAGGATTTGGCAGACTGAGTATCAGGTCTTGCAGGTGGAAGGGGAGCAAGTCTTGACGTGATTCCAATCTCTACAGAGAAACAACTGCCAATGCGGGAGCAAAGGGAAAGTACTTGCATCCTTAGGATTTTTAAAAGGCTGGAAACAGCAGTTAGAAAAAGCAGGCTGATCTCTAGTTTCAGAGTGGTGCACATTGCATTAGTGTCATAATGGTCTTTGTTCATTTACGTAAGTGCAGTAGACTGCAACTCCTCAGAGGCAAGCTCATCCTTCAAGGACTGGAGAAACGAAGAATCACACAGAATCTGAGAAAAAATGGGTTTGAAGGCATTAAAGACGTGGGCAAATGCGCCATAGAATCTGCAGCACAGGACGCAGGAGCGTCAGTCAGCAAAGTAAATGGGTCATTTGGCTCCAAAATCTTGCATGGTGAAAACCTCAGCCAAGATGGGAAAGGACACACCTACGCTGATGGAGCCAAGGAGCACTCAGAGGACCAAATAGACTAAGAGCAAAAGATAGGCTGCAGACGTTGGCACTGTCAGAAGACATGCTGCAGACAGCCCCAAAAACAGTATTAGAATGTGAGCTGGGGGCACCTGTTATAACATAACTACCCACCCCATGTTGAGAGCACATAGTAGTAAGGCAACATATAGGCTTAGTGTAAGAGGAACATCTTCAGGTACTTGTAAAACCCAGGCAGCTGGTAGCAGGCGAGGGTCGGCTGGCCAGAGGTGGCCAAAGTCACTGTGGGCAGGCAGCAGGAACAAATCGAAGACCGAAGTTTCTAGTATCTTTTTTCAAGCAGCAGGAAAATGCATCCTCAACGTTGTATGGATGAAAAGAATGCGTGAAGCATATGTAGCATGACATTCTAACAAGCAGACGACATCAGTGCTCAGTCCCACAGTGTGAAACCCTTGCACAGCAAAACTGGTGGGGGTGGGGAATAATGGACCCAGCAAGCAAAGTAATTTAGCTAGGTCTCTGTGCTTGGCCCGACATGCTAAGTAACTAAATGAGTCTTCAGTGAGACATAGCAAAGCTGTAAAAAAGACTTCCATCCTCTGAGGAAAAGAGGCATGCAGTTAGTGGGAGGGGTTATCCTGGGTTGGCCTACTCTTTGTTTGCAGGTGTTCAATCTTCCTGTAGGCAGCAGTATAAGCCCAAAAGTTTTGAACTTTATTTCCCTCAATGGACGAGAAAGAAATGGGATTGAATTATGTAAAAATGTTTAATACAAAATATCTACCTTGATGTACTCAATCCAGTGCTGAAGAAGGACTTGCACACCACCTCGGACTCTACTAAACAGCTGGTATAGCAGGGAGAGGTCCTGTATTCTGTTTTCATCCAAGAGATGATTTAAACCTGTTTATGGACCAACACAGCACAAATTTAAAAATGATACAATTCAAGCTGTACGCTCTAAAAATAAAACTCCCCAAAAACTAGAAGCTAAATATTTAGGGTCAATTAAAATAAGGCAAGGGTGAATTTGACTCTTGGGCAATATTAGATGAAATAACAATAAGTCACTCAAATCAAGTGGATAGTACAATACAGTGCCAATGTAATAAGATGTAGTCTACAGGATTAATAATTCTATAAAACATCATACCTTTCTGCAGAGTAGTTGTTAGATGTTCTCCAAGAAGCTGCTTTTCAACAGTGGCAATTAATGGTTTTCTAAAACAGGACATGAGAAATAGGTTAGAATACATAAAGAATAACCATAAAGTACTGAACCCAGACACATCCAGGTAATGAGCAGTTTTAGGAAAAAGGCAAATATGGCAACCCCTGTTTTTTTCAGAACCTGCTAACTTAAAGTCCATTTCCGCCTTTGTAAGTGATTAGCATTTATTGTGGTAATGTATAGGTGCAGTGATGATGTAAATGTGTGTACATTTTCATGACTCGCATTGCAGGCTTTCTTCATTTTTTTTAATCAACTTTTTATTAGGCCTGAATCCTAGAAATTCTAAATGTTGTCTACAGGAAACTCAGTCCGACACCGTGGTCAGATTGGAAAGCGAGCTGTAAACAGCTGCCCCCTTGCCTGTGATTCTGTGCAACATGATCACTAAACAACAGCATTTATTTATTTTTATTTGTTTAAATATTCAATTTTTATTAGTTTTGACATATAAAATTTAACCTACAATATTGTACATCAAGGTATGGCTAAAAGTCAACCCTTAATCATTTCCATACCCTTTCATTCATTTCATACATAATGAATAAGGCTATTTGTTCACATACTTTATAGATGACAAGTTACCTCAAAAACAAACACCAAACCTTACAAAATAACAAAAATATTAAAACAAGAGAAAAGAAACAGAAGAGAACAAAAGGAAAAAGGGAGGGATGTAGGGGGGGGGCTTCCGGCTGTCCTATCATTGGTCCCTTGAAAGTGCCTTGGCATCTAGGTCTTCCTATTCTATCCTAATATGGCATTATGTGCCAATTGTTCACCCACTGCCTTTTCAGTTAATTACTAGATGACATTAACATGTAGCTATTCTATCCTGTAGGTTTAAAGATGATCGTATAAAATTGTTCCACAGTTGACATATTGATTCATATTTTTTAGTATCCCTCTGAATGTACATCAGTTCCTCCATCAGTCTATAATATTCCACTCTATTATACCATTCTCTCATAGTTGGGATAGTCGTTTTATTCCAATGTAGTGGTATCAGGGTCTTTGCGGAGTTAAATAATATAGGTATCAGCGATCGTTTATAGACCGCGGTCGGAAGGTCCGTAAGATGGAGACATATCGGACTTATTGGTAAAGGAACAGTGGTAATCCTTTCAATCTGATCTACTATCTGAGCCTACACCAGCATTTACACACAAATACACTGTCCAGGGCAGGGGTCTCAAACTCAATTCCCTCGAGGGCCACTCGACAACATTTTTTCTCCCATGGGGGCCGCTCGCCAAATTTCAAACTTTAAAAAAGGAGAACCATGAGGTGAGTGATTTTCACTCAGGCTCATAGTTCGAGCCGACGTGTGACAATTAAACTGTCACACGTCGACTCAATAGATCGAGAAGTGAGCGAATGCATACCGTCGCTCGCTTCTCTACCCTATCCCTGCAGAGAGCCGTGACTGTCAGTCACGGCTCCCTGCAGGGATCCCCCCCCATCCGATCCTCCAGCGCTGACTGGAGGAACGAACGGGGGAGGTACAGCTGGCTCTGCCTCTAGAAAGGGCAGAGGCAGCTGTCACTCACGCAGCTGGGGGGATCTCGACAGTAATGTCGGGATCCGTCCCGGCAGCGGTGGTCTCAGTATACCACGAGCTGTAGCTCCCGGTATACTGAGCTTTGGGTCCTGGGAGGATGCTAGTTTATGTCCTCCCGTGACCCTGAGGAGAACTATGGGGAAAATCACTTACCCCATAGTTCTCCTTTAAAATAAAATGTAACTATATGCAATATGGTACTACGGACCCCAATACACACAATAAGGCCCCACTCATATCTGTAGGTTTAGGTGCAATTAGGGATTCCTGCGTCAGAAACTTGCGTTTCTGACGCAGGAATTCCCAGTCCCCCCAAACACCCCCCCACATATAACAATATAATTCCCAGTCTTACCCCCCACCCCACACCCGTAAGTTAAATACACAGCCCCCTCTCCGGCTTACCTTGTTGCAGGGAGGAGGCTTGAGCAGCGCCACGATCACCGATCCGTTTATCTAGTGGCGATTAGTAATGTCTGCTGCAGACATTACTAATCTAATCAATCCTTTCGGCCTGCGTTTAGCGAAGATGCCGGCCGAAAGGATCCGAGTGTCGGCACAGAAGCAGCTATGCGGTCTGCATCCGACAGAGATGCAGACCGTGTAGCTGCTCCCGCAAGTCTGGTACGCGGTCTGTGACTGTGTAACAGACTTGTGAGCGGGCTGCGGGCCACATAGTACCGGCTCGCGGGCCGGTACTTTGAGACCACTGGTCTAGGGGGAGGGGGGTTGCCACTATGAATACACAAAGCACAGAGGCAGCCATGTCCATGAGGATATGAAGAGGAAAGCTAACCAAAAAAAAAAGACGTAAGTTTATGTGTTCATATACAGCAAATGTATATGCCTGCTTCATGTACACTCGGTGTGCATTGCTGGCAAATGTTTTTTTTCTAAATATCTCCGCAAAGGTGAAAATGGGCTTTAAAAAAATGTCAATCAGTGTTGCGAGAGGTACAATCTCCACCTTACACCCATCCCTTCTTTAGGTGGAAATGCTGCAGAGAAATGTCTTGCAGTCTAGCTGCTGATAGCAACCTATTTGGAAGTATTGTGATACTTGCAAGCATTTCAAAGTGCTTCCACCTATGCTCTATTACTAAAGCTCTGGTAAATGTTAATGGAATAAAGGATAAATATCCCAATCAGCCCACTTGAATTTACTGAAATAATTAGTTAAAAAGATCAGCAAGCACCAATTAAAAGTAGTCCTCTTTCAGCATTATTCACTGGCATGCTGAATATTGGCCTCATTGATCTGAGAAAACAAGTAGTATTTGTTTTTTTTAGGCTAAAACAATTAAAAAAAAGTGTAAATTGCTAAAACACTAAATATAATTCTAATCCAAAAAAAACTGCTCAGCCCTGCCTGTCCCATATGGATAAACCAGAAAAGCATGCTATGAAACTTACTGTGTGCTTTGATCTAAATATGTAATGACTCGATCTGCCTCTTCTTCTAACCGCTTATTAACATGATGGAGATATTCTGGAACCTGTAAAAATAAAAAGTTGTCAAAGACTAAGATTTAACCTGCAAAATAAGTAAGCTTGTAGTTATCCATTGAAAATGGGAGGGAAATCTAAAACCAAAATACACATCAAATCATGGCTATAGTTTTAAAGGTAGCTGGACTGACAAGAGGGTAACATGACATTTTTAAGTTGATGAATACTACAACAACACTTTAAGGCAGAGCATACTTAAGATCTCACCTCTCTTTCCTGCATAAGTCTTTGTCCTTCTGCTGCATACAAACGATTTGTTTCTTCCAAAAATCGGTGTTCAAAGGATTCTTGATAAATCTAGACAGAAAAACATAGCAATAGTACTAGATTTCTAGCATCCAAGTAAGCCAAACCTTTCAAATCATAAAGTGTTACAAATGATAACGAGACCACTTACCAGTCTCTATGAAATTGCTTGTGAAATAAAATACATGCAAAGTGCTTGCAAAATGTGCAATAAAATCAGTGTCATTATACTGAATGGTATTCTTATGTTACTACATGCAGTTCCCATGCCAACTACTGTAATAGCACAGATCTCTTCATTGTGCAAGCAGTTTCACATGCATTTCATTTTCTCAAAGCTACAGAAGAGTGCAGAGGGCCTAAATCTGTATTCTTTTTTTACAAGGGTGTAAAAAGATCCAGTAACTGCATAAACACCAGCACAAAAGGTCCAAACCACTTACCTGTAGGTCAGATAGCATACTTAGAAGACTTCGTAACAGACTTCTATCAATGGCTTCCCCATTTCTTTCTCTCTCAATTAGCAGCAGAATACCATCAATTGTCTTAGTTTGAACTTTTTGATCACTAATTATGTGGGTTCTAAACAACTCTAGGCCCATGTCCCTAAAATAAATAAATACAAAAAGTAGAAAAGAAATATAGTCAACATTTGCAAACACAAGCAACAACAGCAATGCCATGTTTACTCAGGATGCATATGTAGTAATAAATATGTCCTGTTTATTTATTTTACATATGAAAAGCTAAAAACAGTTGAAAACACCTTGAAGGGAATTTATCAAAACTGGCGCAGACAAAATCTAGAGCAGCTGTGCATGGCAACCAATCAGCCTCTCTCTTTCATTTTCAAATCCTTAGTAAACAAACTGAAGAAAGAAGCTGATTGGTTGCCATGCACAGCTGCTGCAGATTTTTGATAAAATTCCCCTCCTTGTGTTAGCAGTACGCTGACTGGAGCACTGTGCGGCGATGGGGTGAGGTTGACGAACCACTGGAGACCGAAGGATCTGTTTGTGAGAAAACGTAGTCTGACTCTCCAGTGTGCTGATAGCAGGTTATTTTAACCTTTGACTTCATGCTAATCACACATGCTGTGGAATAGCATACTCTGGAATATGCATAACAGTATCAAAAAATAAAGCCTGGTAAATAAAAAAAATAAAAAAACAACTTTAGGGCTCTGCATTTAAAACAGTTATAGTGAATGCAAAATTGTGTGTTCTTGGCATGTGCTCAGGCAGGGAACATCTAACCCCTTAACACAAGCGTTATCACTAGGGATGCACCGATACCGATACTAGTATCGATATCGGTGCCGATTCAGAGTATTTGGGCAAGTACTCGTACTCGCCCAAATGCTCCGATGCCTAGCACGAGTACTTCCGGTATCAGGAAGCCGGACAGCGTGTTGACCGGAAGCTGAGATTGACCGGAAGCTGGCCTCGTGAGGTAAGGTTACCTTACCTTAGTATGTGTAGCCTGTCATCCCCCGGGGCCTCTCCAGCGAGAATGCGGCCTTCGTCCGGTACCCAGCCCGAGCCGTCCAATCAGGAAGCCGGGCGCCGTCTAATGACGCAACACCCTGCTTTCTGATTGGCCGGGAAGCTGGCATCATGCTCCCTCGTCATCTCATGACAAGAGAGCATGGAGCCGGCCTCCCGGCCAATCAGAAAGCAGGGCGTCGCGTCATTACACGGCGCCCAGCTTCCTGATTGGACGGCTAGACGGCTCCGGCTGGGTACCGGACGAAGGCCGCATCCTCGCTGGAGAGGCCCCCGGGGGATGACAGGCTGCACATAATAAAGGTAAGAGGGAACTTTTTTGTTACTCGGGGAGCCGGGTGGCGACTCTTTAAACGCTGCCCGGCTTCGCGGCTAATCAGGAAGCCAGGTGGCGAGTCATTACACGCCACCTGGCTTCCTGAATGGGACTTCCGTTACTCAGTAATTGGTATCGGCGAGTACCGAAAAAAATGTATCGGTACTCGGTACCAAAATACTGGTATCAGTGCATCCCTAGTTATCACCAAAGAGTCACACAGCATTCACCCAAAAGTCCCGCTTTTTTTTTAAATTGATTCTTGTGTGAAATTATAAACAGACCACCAAGAGTCATTTTAGGACTGAATACAGCTAAATGGAGTAAAGAAAAATGTGTTATAGGCAATGCTGCAGAATTACATGACTTGAAAGCCCAACACCCACCTAAACATTCTCTTAGTTTTGGATAGACCGTGACATTTTATTATATATCCCCACTAGGGTTAGTTAACCTCACTTCCTTTTATGTGACAATAGTAAGTAGAAACAAAAAGGTTATGCTAGCACGAAAAAGTAATAACCTCTGTCATGCAATTACTTCTTTTCCTGGTAATAGGTGTCAGACAAGGCAAGGAAGGGAAGGGAGAAATCTCCCCCCCCCCCCCCCCCCCCTCAAAAAGGACACCGGCAAAATGAAAAACCACAGATGTTCGCCACTCAATCAAAAACTAAAACAAATAAAGTTTTGGTTAAAGTTGGGGTTTTGAGACTTAGCATTTAGATTATTGCATAAGCCTATTTGTGACTAGTTCTCTTGAAAGATGAAGAGTGTCAGTAGTAAATTGTAACACAAACAATATTTTGCACATAGAACAAATGTCAGTTTTGAAACTTTTCTATATTAACGTGAAACTCCGGGAAAAATTACAATCTACACACCCAGTGTGCTTTTTCAAATACAAGGCATTCTGTGATTGAAGGAAAGGAGGGGCGGTATGTGACATCATCTCTCCTCCAATCATAGAACACCTTGTATTTGTTTAAAAAAATAAAAATACATTTTGTGAATGGGCAAGTAGTGAGTAGGGGTGGGTGATGCAACCGGTGAACTCCATTGCTCGGGTCTCAATCCTCACTCTGCGCAGTGCCTGGAGGGGGGGCATTAAGTGCAGGAGTCGGCATGCTCCAAGATAAAATGTTTATTTTCATATTCTCTGCAGCAGCCCTTCACACATAACATGCAGCTTTTGAATGATCATGTATATACCCAGTGCATTGTGTACATTATCATTTTTCCCGGAGTTCGGCTTTAAGCTAATTTTAACAAAAAAGTTTTAAGACATTATCTAAAGGTTTAAGGGCCATATTGTCTTTAGATACATCACTTCTAACAGCACTCTGGAAACGGAACTCAAAGTGTGAACATTATTGGGTATAAGCACTTCATGTACAAGAAAGATGTGCCCCTCCGAGACCACAAGAGCAAGCAAATGGTTAATAGGGGTACTTTGTAGTAATAGTCATCATAACTATGACAGCACAATGATTTCGTGCAATGACACCACCGTCTGAGTCTGGGAAGCTGAAAAAGGGGACATGGCTTTTAAAGTCACTCAGATCACATATATAGTATTGATATAAACAGCTCTAGTACTGCTTAAGAAGCTCCTGCTCACAGCTAAATCCCCTTTCTCTTTTGGTCTGTGTACATTGAAGGGAAGGAAAACATTCCCTTTGGGAAAGGGACTTTGCTGTAAAGCTGCCCACACACCTTACAATTTATCTGCAGATTTTCTGTGGTCAGATGGAAAAGGTGCAGCAGATTTCTCCATCTACACTTAACTGTGTGGATGGAGTAATCTCCACCTGGGCCAATCTGTTGCACTTTTTCCATCTGACCAGAGAAAATCTGCAGATAATTGTAAGGTGTATGGCCAGCTTAAGAAGGAAATGCAGTTACCTCAGAAAGCTCTTGAACCACTCTGTATGTTAAGCAGCTAATTATAGCAGTGACGTGTACTTTTCTTTTTAACAGCTACCCCTGAACTCCATGAGTGATATAATTGGACTAAATGATACCAGGAGCTGTCAGGAGTATCACCACAGAGTGCAGTAATTGGCTGCTCCAAAAAACATCTACTCTCCGTTCTGGACCCCAGAAAGCTCCCAGTTGCTGCTGAATTGTGACGTGTGGAACTGATTTTAAGTGTCTGTTGCTTGTAGGAGAGAATTCAGAAAGATAGATGCTGTCCTATCACCAAGGGCCTGTCACACACCATCTCCTAACAGGAAATGTTTAATAGTGGTCTTTCAAAAGCTTACCAAATAGATGGCAACATTGAGTTCTGAAGTACGTAGGTTCGATCCAGGAACAGGAAGATGCTTCTGATCATGATCTTAAATTAAAAGTAGACAAATTAGTGCAGTTTCCCTTTAAATATAACAATCTAGCACAGTTTCAGGACACTTGAGAAATACTAAAATTTAGGTTACATATAGTGTGCAATAGGGCTGCAACAACTAATCGACATAATCGATTATAATCGATTATTGAAAAAGTTGTCAACTTTTTCAATAAAAAAATATTTATTTTAAAAACATGTTTCAGAACATTATGTGAATGATTCCACCATCTACATCTCCCGTATTACCCTGGTGTCAGATGCCTGTGCGCCTCAGCAACCATTGTGGTTCCACCAGCAGCTTTTTCTATAGTCATTTAATGTATATATACTTAACTTTTATGATGCTACAATTACAAATGGAAGCTACAATGTATATTGGTCAAAATTCTGTTTTTAACTTAAGTTTTTGTTTTAACTATTATAATACAAAATGTATGCAGCTCCAACGGTTTGCGCAGTGCTTTACAAAATGTAATGTACAGTACAGTTACAAAACAATTTCAGTACAATAGGGTTAGGAGGGCCCTGCTCGTGAGAGCTTACAAATCTAGTAGATGAACCGTTTTAGCTTTTGTTAAATTATTTCTGTAAAAACTTTATATTAATTTTACAAATGAACACGTATGACAGGATGCATCTATGATGCATTGTGCAAAGTACACTGGTCTTTCTAATCCGTTTTGTTTTTAGCACAATAGTTTCGGTCTGAAAAATCAACTGCTTGTGATCTTAGTCTAAACTGAAGGAGCAGTATTGATTTACATGACTGTTTACAGAAGGAAACTTGAGATGAAAAGATTAGGCTACAGTTTATAAAAATAATTCCCTTATATGTGGATAGCCCCATAAAGTCCTGATGACAGGTAGCATGTTTAAAAACGCTCCAAAAAGATGCAGTAATACACTCCCTGCCAGAAGGTACAATGTCACTCTCCTTTTACCAATGTATAAAAAAAGGAAAAAAATAACTTACCATTTGTCTGCAATGATCCTGCCAGCACTTATCTATTTTCTTTAGGAAAAGAACGCTATCCAATGAATCTGTAATGAATGAATTAAGGGAACACAAACAAGCATAATAGAATTGATCAAACTGTAATCCATCTCTAAGGCATAGTACACATTATTAAAGTGAATCCGCCACTAAAGAAAAACAGATAAATAGCCTGCAAATAAAAGAACACTAACCTGTCCTGTCAATCTTCACTGACAATAAGGAGGAGCTTGCTGAAAAATCTTCTGCATCAGATACTTCCTCGAATATCAGGCGCTTGGTCCCCCGCTGAGTGCTGCGGTTTCTTACACCAGCCCCTACGTCACTACAGGATGAAGAATGACAGAGGCCAGCAGTAGAGACCACAGATTGTGGAGGGACCAGACATCAGACATTCTGTTGGATGCAGAAGATTTTTCAGCAAGTGTTTCTCAACAAGTGAAGATTGGCAGCACAAGTCAGTATTGTTTTCTTTGCAAGCTGGCCTCTTCTCTTAGTTTTTCAAATTAAAATCGATCACTTTAAAGTGTTTCGGTGCTTTGCCCACACAGGACAATGTAACAGAATCGCTTTAACTTGGCCCCCTCCAGTACCACATACTTTACTTTCCATGCCCCCTATTGCTGTTCAGCTACCAGGAGCAAAGAAAGCCCTTTGTAAGCTATGAGTAGCTGAGTCATAGCTTACGCAGGGCTGTGGACTCCCTGCATAAGAACAATGATTGTCTGTAGGCTGCAGATCTTTTTCCCTTACCGACTTTCCATGGCTTATTCCACATTGTGTCTGTGTGGAGATGACCATGTTAATGTAGGAATAGGGCTTGACTTTCTCATGCCAGAGCTGAAACTCGGATGACGGTGACCTTATTACTAGAGGGGTAATGATCAAGCAGCAGTCGAGGTTCAAAAAGTACAGATCCATACAATGAATAAGGCAGAAGCAGGAAAACCCGTAAGCTGCAGGTACTGGGGTACATCTTCCCCTCCAGCAAGTAGAATAGCAGTGGTTTTTTTTTCGTCATCTGCATGTTTTTTATTTAGTGACGAAAACCAAGTAATAGAGAAGTTAATGGAATGAAAACGAAATTAAAATTCTGGGAGTCACTATTGCATTTGGACTTCTGCTTCCCTGAGCACCTCCTCTTCCTGTAGTAGGGAGACATGCATGACTGAATAATAACCTACTGATCAACCCAGGGGGACACCAGCTTGCAAACACTTGCTGCACAAACATCTCAACGTCAGGGAGAAAGAGAAGAGCAGATGAATGGATGAGAACACGACTCTTCTTAGACCATGTGGGGCAACCATCGTAAGTCATAACAGGTTAAAAGAGGTTTACTCCAGGAATATATAATGGGTTTGGAAATTCTAGAGACTGGCTTAAATAATGCAATACACTTTAAATAAATCCATTAGATTAGTAAAACCTACTGGAGCTGTAGTCGACTAAAACCTACTGGAGCTGTAGTCGACTAAAATCAGAATAAAAATGACTAAAAAAACAACTGAAACTAAAATGGCATTTTAGTCAAAAGACTAAAACTAAGACTAAATTGAAATTTGCCATCAAAATTAACACTGTAGAATAGTGAGCAGCACAGTAGTGGCCTCACGTAATCTTTTGAGTCTAGCAATAACAGACTCAGTGCCTTAGATGACCTCACACTGCAGATATATAGATAAGAGGCTACAGAAGATAAATGCCTAGGCAAAGGAAGTGTACTGCTATTCAGAAGAAGGAATTCAAGACAGATTTTTCAGGCTCCTGCTTAAGTACAACTGACATGTACAGACATTCCCTTTAAGAGAGACAAATCATTACTTTTTGAGCTCTCATCCACTAAGTATTTCAGGGCCGTACATTTTTTTTTTTTTTTTTTTTATGGCAGAGGCAATGAGTGCCAGAACAAAAAAGTCAAAAGGTGCAAACTTTGAGGATGTAATCCTTATGCTTGCCTCAAAACTTTGTGGGTCATGAACCTGGAGCAAGTATGTGGCCAACAGGTGCCCTAACACTTCAGTGGCTGCACACTTGCTCCAGGTTACTGCACACTTGCTTCGACTCAGGAAAAAGTGAAGCATGTTTGAGGATGACAGTTCTGAAGCTTGAACTTTCAAGTCAGCAAAAGCAACTCCGATGGTTGTACTCTGAAAGGCTTCCTTTAACACTTCTTGCTCTAGTGCTTGGGAAACTGAGTAAGGTAGCAAACTCTACGGCTCACACCAAATAAACTCCAACTTTTAGAGTAAGCTCACTTTTAGACTAAGCTCAGTATACCGCGAGCTACAGCTCGCGGTATACTGAGACACCGCAACCGGAGCGGATCCCGACGTAGATGACGGGATCCGCCCAGCTGCGTGACAGCTGGCTCTGCCTATCTAGAGGCAGAGCCAGCTGTACCCGCCCCCTCCCGTTCCGCCAGTCAGCGCTGACAGATTGGAGCGGGGAGAGGGGAATACAGCCCCTCCCCGTCACGGCAGAGAGCCGTGACAGGATCGAGAGGTGAGCGAACCTGGTATGTGTTCGCTCTCCTCCCGATCTACTGAGCCGACCAGTGACAGTCTCATTGTCACAGGTCGGCTAGAACTATGAGGTAAGTGGAAATCACTCCTCATAGTTCTCCTTTAAAGAAATTAAGGCAGATATGCTAGAATTTGTAAAAACGTTATATTTAATGATTTTAAGGAATATATTACTGGATTAGAGAGTTGTGATATAAAAGTCTTCACGAAAAGGATATTCTCTGAATTGGTGGATTTGTGCTTTAATGTGGTCCTCACAGATCTGTCGCAACTGTTTGTAGAGGTTTGCAGATATCTTATAAGAGCAAAGGTTCTCAACAGCCTGCAATAAACAATATAAACATCAATACATGCTAAGAAAGCAAGGGGAAAAAAAAAGTACAAAAACACACTGTTAAAGTGATAATTTCTTTGAAACCCCCCCCAACTCCTGATGTGTCCTGAAATCACTATGTATCAGCTGTGTTTCACCATAGAGAATAATGATCATTCCTGTCCTAAACTCAGCACATGGACTTGGGAGGGAAATTATTGCAGACAGGCCAGAGTACATACTACATGTAACAAGATGTCAAAACACCATCTGGCCAGAAAGAACACTGATTTTCAGCATGCGAGATCTGTACCTCTAGTTTACAATTTCATAAGCAGGGTAGGGAAGGTGCAGACATGAGTCATCTCAGTTCTTTATCGCAACTGAATTCATGGCAGTGTCTTGATCCAACTAAGTATCTAATACATAATATTAAGGTGTTATACAATGCCCGACCTCATTTTTTTTTATTCTCAAGAGTTGTTAAACTCACCTGATATAATTCTTCCAAGTTGTATTTTATTGAAGTGCTATTTTGAATGGCTTCAACAGCTTCTTTCAGTTTCTGCCAAGTTTCATCAGTGTAGTTTTCAGGCAATTTTGGTTTATCTGTGAACACATGCAAATGCATCAAATGTACTGAACTGATAAACGAAACAGTGTAGCTTTCCTGGTACCCAATATGGGTTTAAAAAACTACCACAAAATGCCTCTGCGGGGCCAAAATCCCCAACAGTGTTGTCAGTCCTTCCCAGTTCTCTTTTGCTGACAACAGAACATTTCTCTTATCTCCATAACATAAGAGGTAGGAGCTCGGCAGTTCCAAGGAGAACTGCGCACAGCTGATAACACTGCTTGAGACTTCCATGCTGCAGAACATTTAGAACTTACTGGATTTCTGGCATTATCAACAAGTATTGTTTTTTCTTTTTTGTTAACATGAGCGACAATTTTAATGATAAAAAAAAAATGAGGAAGCATGTAGTTGTTGCAGACATGCACTGTTTATGGGGTAGAGCCAGCTGTCAGTCACGCAGTTGGGTGGATCCCGTCATCTAAGTCGGGATCTGCTCCGGCTGCGGCGCCTCAGTATACCGCGAGCTGTAGCTCGCGGTATACTGAGCTTAGGGTAACGGGAGGACGCTAGTTTGTGTCCTCCCGTTACCCTAAGGAGAACTATGGGGAAAAACACTGACCCCATAGTACTCCTTTAACTCACAAGCCATTTCTACTTTTCAGGATGATTATCAATATTTGCTTTTCAATTTTTCTAATTGTGTCAACTAAAACAAAAAGGTTTCAAACAATTGACCAGAAGTTTTGTTTTTTTCTTGCACACAGTTATATTTCTAACTTCTCTCTGTGAAGCTCTTCCAGCTAGACAGTAGAGTGTAGATTTTGGGGCATAGTCTCCACCCAGAGACACAGTCTGTGCAGCGAAATACACTGAGTGGCCAGATTATTATGACCACCTGACGTCTGTAGTCAAATTAGCTATAATTTCGCGCTGAAGTTGCTTGAGGGCCAGACCATTATAAATAGGGAAGCAGGTTGTTTCCCACGACAGTAGAAGTGATTTTTTTCTGAAGATACGGGTAAACAACGCGATTTAACAGCCTTTGAACGTGGGATGATTGTTGCCGCTCGGAGCCATGGAGCGAGTATCAGCAAAACAGCAGAATTCGTTAAATGTTCAAGAGCAGCTGTTAAAGTGTTTAAAGACTGGACATTCAGCTGAAAATCTGGGTCTCAACGTGGGAATTGTGGCCGTCAACAACTAGTCAATGTTAGGGCAGATCGGAGAGTGGCAAGACTGGTACAAGACACCAGAAGGGCAACAGTGCAGTGTCAGATTCCCCGCATCACCTTTCAACATCTCGTGGAGTTACGAGGTGGCCCAACAAAGGCATCTCGTGGCCCAACGAAGTACTGATGGGGTGGTCATAATAAGTGCAACGGATTCCTAAACTGAGTGGATGGAGGAATCTCCCACTGGGCCAAGCTTCAGTATCTTGCTAGTCGGCCCCGCTGGCTGTCAAAATACCTGAACAATGCCTGCAGCCAATCAGATTGTTCAGGTATTTTAACAGCTAGCGGGGCAGAGTAGCAAGATACTGAAGCTTGGCCCAGTGGGAGGAATCTTTTGCACTTTCTCCATCTGACCATAGAAAATCTGCAGATAATCTATAGGTGTATGGCCAGCTTTACTCTGCTCAGATGATGTCGACATTAGGATTTAATTGTTTTTTTTCCTGAGGCTTGATCTGCATTACTCTGAAAAGGCACAGTAGCTCAAAGGTTTGTAGAACTGCCTTGTCACAGTCAGGAGTATCATGGTACTGTAACCTAATAAATGTGTCAACATCTGTCAAAGAAACTGCAAAATAAGTGTACCATTTTCCTGGTATGACAACATAAACAGAGACACAAGCTTTATTTATGCAATGCAGTCAAGTTACCAAATTGTACAATTTTTAAAAAAAGGTGTAAAATATTTAAAACAACTCTTTCCTGTGAGGACATGCTTGCAGACATCAGTAAGGATGCTAGTAATAAAGGGTAACACTAAAGTAAGCCTAGTCTATAAAAGAAGATGGCACATACTTACCAATCCAGTGGCCTGTGTCTTAAAACTCTGCCATGTTGCTTGATCTGCGGCAGCTGCATGTATCTAACAATTCCACGTGTGTCATACCTGCTCGCAAAGCAGCAGTGGTTTCTCCTATCAGCTTGAATGTCCTGAAGTGACAAGGGAGTCTGAAGAGAAACCACAGCGCACAGCACCAAAGCTTGCATTGGATACACCCAGAAGTGTCGGGACTGGGGCTCGGACAAGGGCTACTGGAAAGGTAAGTTCATCACATCTGCTTTTACATTCTGGGCATACATAAGTTTTGACCCTGTGCTGACAGAATTACTTTAAATCAATAAGTTTATTGTGATCAGATTCCAGAAGATGAGGGGGAAAAAAAAAAAGTAATTGGGTTTTGCCCATAAAGGCCATAGCAGTAAATATCTGTTCCTCAACCAGGTGTGTGGAATTCCTATCGCCCGACGCCCGTGACATGCAGCTTCGGGTGCCGGGCGAGGAGTCATTTTGAACATTTAGCCCTACTTTGGACAAGCAGCGCTAAATGTACAACGTGAAGGCCGCAGCTTGTTTCTATACAAGTGATCTGATAACTTGTATGAAACGAGCAGCGATCTTGTCTAGGCCCCTTAGGGGAAGGAGCGTTCGCCAAAAGGTAAGTATAGCGCGCGGGGGGGGGTTAGTGAACATTGCGTGAGAGAGCGCTGCTGCCAGGCTACCACAATGTGGCACAGTGGAATGGCAGCGGCAACACACACGCTTTTATTTGCATGCAGATGGTGGTGGTGGTGGTGGCAGGGTTGGTTTTATTCCCATCACACGGGGGCTTACAAGACCTTGTGAGATAGTTTGGAGGCGACAGGTTTTCTTTAAGGAACCTGCCCTCCAACACAGAACAGATCTTTGGTGCAGTTTCTGACAGCTGAGACCGGTGGCGCTGTGATAACAGCTCTCCAGTCTCACTGATCACAGAGAGAAGAACGGAGAAAGGACTTTCTTCGCTCTGCTCCCTGCGATCCATCCTGTGCTCATTTGCCATGGTCCTTGGTCCCCCACAAGAGCAGGGGAACCCGAAAACCACGGCGGGGAGGGGACATACAATCAGGCTGGTACAAGTGATCTGAATAGATCACTTGTATAAAACGTGCAGCGGCTTCCTGTTGTACATTTAGCCCCGCTTGTCCGAAGCAGGGGTAAATGTAGAAAACAACAACCCGCACAGTGACTGGAATTGCATGTCCCGGGCGTCGGGCAATACGGTAATAGTTACGCACCCCTGATGGGCGATTGATGTCACCTATATGGGGCAATGTCTGAGGCCAGATATGCACAGGAGGCCCACTGGTACTCAACTCTCCAGTGCTCCACCACCGAGTGTTTAAAAATCTAGGGTTATATGTCAAAACAATACTTATTAGATATGAGCTTCACTTCATAAGACAAATGTAAGACCCAGTTAACACTGTCGCTATGGTAATGCACACATCATCATTATGAGGATCTGTTAGATTTTCTTTTTCTACCTCAGCCCAAAAGGGAAACAAACACACACAAAAAAACTACTAGAGTATAACCAGCTCAACACATTTTTTGTAAAGTAAGCAGTGCAAGTACCTGGGTAACAAGGAACATGCTAGAGGAAAGAGCAGAGTGACAAATGAGCTTCCCGACAGCGGCCCGAGACAGCTGCCTCCTGACAGTTTCTTTCCTCCCCACTAGTCGCTGCTCTGTGTCAGAGGGGACACAGAGCAGCGCCCAGCGGGGAGGAGAGAAATCACAGATGCGCCACAATTTTGTCAGAAAAATGGTACTTCGGCATTTTGCTCAAAGTACCATTTTCAGATGGTTTCGGCGGACGAATTTTCGGTGCATTCCCTAATAGGTGCAACCACTATATCTGTATCGAATCGTACATTAAAACAGGGATGCAGAAATCCCAGGAGCCCAATAGCCAATGCTCCTTACAAATGACAGCTGCCTGCTAACTTTTGAATTTTTCTCTAGTCTAGTCTTGAAACTGGAAAAGTATCTGTACTTGTAGCGAGTACGGTACTTGGTATCTGGACATCCCTACTTTAAAAGCAGTTGCAGAGACAGATCTGTTTTCTCTTTGGAGACAAGGCTAAGAGCTTATTGTAATACATGCTGCAACGCACCATAGATGTGTAAGGGTGCAAGGTCATTTTCCGTGGCACTTAAAGACAACACACCTCTGACACACATGCATTAGAGCACACCACAGCACATGGTAATGTACCACTGTGCATTGCGGCACACTACTTCAAAAGATTGTGCTTGTCCATTTGGTGTGTTCATATAGCATATGTATAGCCAATTATTAGAACTATGAATAGAGTAGAAAAGAATTTAAAACCAATTTATGCTTTACCATGTCCCTTTGGGGAGATTTACCGTCTATTCCTGTCTCAGACACACAAAAGGAAAGATCTACAAAGTCAGGGGAATTACCCGTTAGACAATTGCTCCTGGAACAGATGTTCTCACTGGAAGATTTATCCTGACCCCTTCTGGTGACATCTCAGAAATGTTGGCATCACATCACTTTCTGTCTCAAGAACCATGGTAACCAGGGCAAACAGAAAAAGTGAATCTCCCAAAGAAGGGGGCCACAGAAAACTTGACATGGGTTCTAACCCTCCCCTATTCTATCCAAAAACGAAAAGGACAAAAGGTTTTCTATACCATATAAAAAGACGACCAACATTAGCACCCTTGATAGTGTTATATGGCTCGTCCGAAGACCTGCAACTGTCACTTTTGCTGGACAGCTTGGCCCTCATATAAACGTAGAGTAAATACAAACAATTGGCTTGTCTAATAACGAGGGATTACATTGAACACTATTACTACGTGTCGGGGCGGGTCTATTCTAATTCGATACCACGCTATACCAGGAAGTAGCAGACGAGTGAGACGCTACACTACACCGGCCGGTTTTTCCGATTTTAAACTGTGAGTGATTCTATGTTTTTATAAATAAACGTTTATGCATACCACACCATGAGGAGGTTTCTATTTTTTATGTAAACCCATAACGGGCCGAATGTTACCAAAAGAAAACATTTGAGATGTGGACCCTCTAACTTGGGATTTTTGCTTCATTACCTCAACTGCGGGGTGAGTACACACCCAAAAGGGGGCAGTTTGAAAACACTGACAACACCGTGGTGTGGGAAGAATTCACAAACTGATTCACCAACTGGAGATATTTGCTTGAAGTGTTCATCGGATCCAATTTTTAGTTATATCACGGTTTTCTAATTTCTACGATAAATGGATCACCATTTGGGACTATTGTAAAGTTTTATGCTGGTTATCAGCTGTTCACAAAAATGCTTTGACACTAATTTATCACCTTATTATTGAAAGACACAAGAGTGAAAATATTATATATTATATATTTTTTGACACTGTATATAATTCTGATACTGGATATTTTACACTGTGGATACACTTTTTATTTATATTTAAATAGATAGACACTGAATATTATAGATTTTTCATATTATCTAATTTATATATATATATTTATATTATTTACATATTTATATTTATATCATGCACTTTATTATTTTCTAGCGCTGCACAATTCACACTTTATACTATTACTACAAGTATTTGCCTCCTACAGTTACCATAAAACTATGTTTCCCTCTAGTTGGCCTTTAAAAGGAGGAGATCTAAAAAGGCACCCAAACCTTTTTTTGTCATTTCAGACCAGGTTCTGTAAGAGATTTTTACATGCACATTGGTTTAGGAATAACACAAATGTTATACTAATCCAGAGAATATGACTTGACTGGCTATCCAGATACAAGGCACAGCAGTGACTTTGGTTTTAGGGTTTACCATTAGATTTTCTAAAATGATGTACTGTTAAAAGGAAAACTCATGCTTGCAGGGGAGCTACTCCCACTGATGTCATCACATCTTATGCAGGTCCATTGCATTAGACACAATGATGCTGAGGGACATTCAATAGCCACAGTGGAGGGGAAGAGAGGCGACTGTCAACCGCTGCAGAACCGGCAATCGGGTAACAGCTTTTTTTTTTTTTTAGCCCCCTAGACAAAATGCGTACTTGACCCTTGCAATGCATAGGTAGTCCGCAAACTTTACATATTCAAATTTGGGTTTGTTGTAGTACATAAACGGTTGTTCTGCTTCCTCTTGAATTTAATATAGTGGTTTGCTATACCCTATTTTATAAAGTATACTTTCTTTTAAAACTGCCTTTTGAGGAAACACTCTGTACACTGTTTCTTAGAGATGCACCGATATATGAGCCAAAAATGGCACTTTTGGCATAATGCCGAAAGTGCAATTTTCTGGCCGATACAGCAGTGCGCCTATTCTTTCTCTCCTCCACGCTGTGCGCTCCTTTGTGTCCCAGCCCAGAGGAGAGAAACTGTCACAGGCGGCCGAGTGCTGTGGGTGGAGAGTGTTGTGTGCGGCCGCCATCTCTCTTCCCACACAGCTCAGCCTCCTGTCACAGATAAGAGGACAGCGGTGTGTGGGGGCGGTGACAGTCAGCGCTGTCAGCGGAGGCTGAGCTCTACGCTCGCTCAGCCTCCTGTGACAGCTGTCAGGAAGGAGAGCGAGTGCAAACACCCAGCGATGAGCGATCGCTGAGTGTTTGTAAATAATTGAGGACATAGTATGTTTACAGTGTCCTCAATTATGAATTAATGGGAAGTGATCTACATCACCTCCTGTTCATTCATAATTGTGGTTATAGTAAATATACAGGAGCTGCAGAAAAACAGATTGAGGACTGTGTTCTCAATCTCTTTTTCTATTTTAAAAAGGGAAATATTAGTTTTGCTCTTACATTTAAAAGGAGAACTATGGGGTCAGTGTTTTTCCCCATAGTTCTCCTTAGGGGAACGAGAGGACACAAACTAGCGTCCTCCCGTTACCCTAAGCTCAGTATACCGCGAGCTAAAGCTCGCGGTATACTGAGACGCCGGAGCGGATCCCGACGTAGATGACGGGATCCGCCCAGCTGCGTGAGTGACAGCTGGCTCTGCCTATCTAGAGGCAGAGCCAGCTGTACCCGCCCCCTCCCCCGTCCGTTCCGCCAGTCAGCGCTGGCAGATCGGAGCGGGGAGAGGGGAATCCAGCCCCTCCCCCTGTCACGGCAGAGAGCCGTGACAGGATCGAGAGGTGAGCGAACCTGGTATGTGTTCGCTCACCTCCCGATCTACTGAGCCGACCTGTGACAGTCTCATTGTCACAGGTCGGCTAGAACTATGAGGTGAGTGGATATCGCTCATCTCATAGTTCTCCTTTAAGCTGACTGTCTGATTTGTTTTATTATTGCTGAAAAATTCCAAATAAAATTAAAAAAAGGGAAATATCAGGGGTCTGTTTAGACCCCTAATATTTCCAGAAAAGTTCTTTGAAGACAAACAAAAAATAAAAACATTTAATTAAAAAAAAAAAAAAAATCAAATCAAATAAAAAAATAATTTTTAAAAAGTTTATAAAAATAAAATTGAAAAAAAAGTTCAAATAAAAAACATTTTTGTTTTCAATCAGACATTTTCTTTATTTCGGTTGGGTTTTGACATTTTCATTTTGGTGCACCCCTACTGTTTTTATAACCAAGCTGCAGTGACGCCAAAAACCTCATCTTTGCCTGCTGCCTGGGTAGCGTTTTTAACTACAACGCCCAGTTCTTACTGTAGTCTCTGATGGTTCTCTGTAAGAGGCAGGAAGAGCTAGAAGGGAGGCAGGAAGAGCTAGAAAGGAGGCAGGAAGGTGTAGTTTTAAAAAGCAGCTCTTCACCAAGGGTGACAATGTTATTGGCAAAGTAAGAGAGCACGTTTCAGCACCATCCCCAAAAGGATTTGAATTCCTAAGGATTTATCTGGCAGGATCAACAGATAGATTTGGGGACTAATGGAAATGAAATAGACAACAAGCATGACAGAAGCCATTACAACCACATACAAGTCATTTTAAAGCTGAACTCTAGACACTAAGAGGGGTAATTTATCGAAACTGGAGCAGTTGCCCAGGACAACCAATCAGCATATCTCTTCAGTTTGTTCAGATAAGATTTGAAAATGAAAGATGAAGAAGATTGGCTGCCATGCACAGCTGCTCCAGTTTTGATAAATTTCCCTCAATCTCTTTAAATATATTCTTTATTTGCCACAAAAGATACAACTCCAGTGTGTGCACCAACTGCATTTACAAACTCAGAAACAACACTTGTAAAAGTAGTAGGGACATCAACCCAGGTGCACATAGCCTGTGCAGAGAGCGGAGCTATTAAGCTGGCCATACACCTTACAATTATCTGCAGATTTTCTATGGTCAGATGGAAAAGGTGCAACAGATTCCTCCATCTACACTTAACTGTGTGTGTGGAGTAATCTCCACCTGGGCCAATCTGTTGCACTTTTTCCATCTGACCACAGAAAATCTGCAGATAAATTGTAAGGTGTATGGGCACCTTTAGAGGTATCCAGCAGGCCCCAATCACAACAGGCTGCCTACAGAAAACTACAGGAGGGGGCGGATACAAGACCAGTCACACTACACCTCACTTTGCCCGATGAAGGGACCCTGCATCATTCTGAAATGTCGCTATAGCTTTTTGATTTGATAAATCACTGTTAATGAAGGTATTTAGGAAGATGGCACGACAGTGTGCTGGTAACATTATGCTCCTCTTCTCTCCAGTGCTCCAGGCTGTAGGCAAGCCCACACTGTCCTCACATCCAATGTGGGACTGCTGGTCCAGCATTGTATGTGATGACATCTGTCACTGACGGCCAGCCAGAGTGCCTTAGAGAACAAGTTTCGGGGGACCAGTGGCACAGTGTAAAGGAAGCATGACAGAGCAATAGATGAAGTATTGCAGTTTTTCCGATCATCTCCCTGCAGGGAGCGATGACCATCAGCCACCGCTCCCCGCAGGGATTCCACTGCTCCCGTAGCACTGAGTGGAGGAACGGACAGGGGATGGCACAGCTGGCTCTGCCTCTAGATAGACAAAGCCCGCTGTCAATCAGCCAGCTGGGTGGATCATGGCAGTATTGTCGGGATCCACCCCAGCTGCGGTGCCATCAGTATATAGTGAGCTATATATTGAGCTTTGGGTCACAGGAAGAAGTTAGTATATGTCCTCCCGTGACCCTTAAGAGAACTATGGGATAAAAAGGTTACCCCATAGCTCTCTTGTAACAAGCATTTAACCCTTGCCGTGTGTGGTGGGGGGCACTGAAAGGGTGTTTTTGCGTAAAACAGCTTTAACCTCTGACCATAGGTACACTTTAACTTTGAGGCTGCACGCAATCACCGCCAGTGTATACACACAATCAATGACGCAAACCCCAAAACGCAGCAGCTACGAACACAGACAACCGATCTGTCAGAGACAGGTTAACGTGCTCTACCTTTGAAGTTCTTGATGACTAACTTCTTGGCTGAGCCAGGTTTTGTGTTGGCAAAGCTTGAGACGGGGGAGGCTTTGGTGAGCCCATTGGCATGATGGCCAGCAGCCACCGGAGAGATGAGCAGGTTTTTACTCCTCAGTGGGGTAGCAGAAGAACAAGAAGAGGAGGGAGACTCCTCCGCCATCTTCACATCGAGTCCTAGAAAGTCCAGGCTGTCTTCAAATCTCAGCTTCTTCTGGATGTGGTTGGAAGAGGATGAGGAGTTCTTCTGGGGAGGGATGGAGTCCAAGTCGTCCTTCTCGCTGCTGTTACTGTTATTTAACTTTCTCTTCTTGGAGCTGCTGTTTCCCTCTGCCTTGACCTCCTGAGCGGGAGGGTTGGGGGACGATAAACCTGTGGGGAACATGAACACAGCAGACATGTAATAGCCGGACGAAGAAGGAGAGCCTGGACACTGTCCTGCCTGTTTCCTGGTCCCACCCCCCGGCTCTGACAAGGGCCCGGCCTGGCTGTGCGCTCCGTAAAGGCCACACTCTCCGCTTGTTTATTGTCACCAGAGAAAAGATGGCCTCACTTCCTCTCTCAAGGCATCTCGGGTAGAGCGGCCTAAAGAGGCCACCGGCGGCACGGGGCTGCTCCCCCACCTCCCCCCGAGACGCGCAACCGTCCCTTTCACTCACCGGAAGGGCTGGCGGCGAGGTCTTTCATAATGCCCGACCGTGCGGGCCTCATCCGTCGCCTTTCCCTCGCCGAGCTGCCGCTCCGATTGGTCCCGGCGGGGAGTTCAGGGACTGGGAGGGATTGAGCGGGGTGCTGAGGATCAGGAGGAGGAGCCAACCTGGGGGTGTTTGCTTCCCTGTCCATGATGTCACGAAGCGAGACAGGGCGTCTATTGGTTGGCTTCGTGCCGTGAGGTCATCTGCGTGCCGTTCTGCCCCGCCTCTTTCTCCTGGGTCGTGCACGCTTGCAGCGGCAAAGCGGAGGAATATGTGCGCTGCCAAGGCATGGCATTTCTGTCAAAACTCTGTTACATATATATCATCTTCAGTAGCTTTGTACGTTCAATGTGCCATGTTTTTAAAGAGACCCTGTCAGGTAGAGACGTAGCTACGGGAAATAGTGCCCGTGGCAAGCATTGGAATTTCGCCCCTTTCCAAAAACTGACATCCATTTGTTATATAACTTTACAATAATAAAAGTCAAACTCTCATCAGAGTCTCCCCTTACACCAGATTCCCCCTTACATCAGAATCTCCAGAGCTCCTCCTTACATCAGAGTACCTCCTTACACCAGAGTCCCCCTTACATCGGAATCCCTAGAGCTCCTCCTTACATCAGAGTCCCCCCTTACACCAGAGTCGCCCTTACATCAGAATCCCTAGAACTCCTCCTTACATCAGAGTCCCCCTTACATCAGAATCCCTAGAGGTCTTCCTTAAATCAGAGTCCCTCCTTACAGCAGAGTCCCCCTTACATCAGAATCCCTAGAGCTCCTCCTTACATCAGAGTCCCCCCTTACACCAGAGTCGCCCTTACATCAGAATCCCTAGAACTCCTCCTTACATCAGAGTCCCCCTTACATCAGAATCCCTAGAGGTCTTCCTTAAATCAGAGTCCCTCCTTACAGCAGAGTCCCCCTTACATCAGAATCCCTAGAGCTCCTCCTTACATTAGAGTCCCCCTTACATCAGAATCCCCAGGACTCCTCCTTAAATCAGAGTCCCTCCTTCCATCAGAGTTCCCCTTAGATCAGAATCCCTAGAGCTCCTCCTTAAATCAGAGTCCCTCCTTACACCAGAGTCCCCCTTACATTAGAATCCCTAGAGCTCCTCCTTACATCAGAGTCTCTCCCTACACCAGAGTCCTCCTTACATAAGAATCCCTAGAGCTCCTCATTACACTAGAGCTCCCCCTAAACTCAGAATTACCATTGCATCAGAGTCCCCAATGTCCCCCTTAAATCAGAGTCCTTGGAGCCTCCTACTACATCGGGGCCCCCCTTTACATTAGAGTTCCCACTTGCATCAGACTCCCTAGAGTTCACCTTTACATCAGAGTCCTCCCTTGTATCAGTGTCTTTCATTGCATCAGACGCTGATGTAAGGGGGAACTCTGGGGACTGTAAAGTAAGGGGGCACTCAGTGTCCAGAGTCCCCCCTTTCCTCAGAGTCCCCAGGGTTCCCCCTTATATCAGATTCCCCCCTTACATCCAAGTCTCCTGGAGGCACTGATATAAGGGGGGACTGTGATGAAAGGGGGGACTTTGGTAAGTCCCCCCTTACATCACAGTCCCCAGAGTCCACCCTTATATCAGTATCCCCAGAGACCCCCTTTACATCCAAGTCCTAAAGAGACTCCCAAAGGGGGACTCTAATGTAAGTGGGAATTCTGGGGACTGCAATGTAAGGGGGGACTCAGTGTCCAAAGTCCCCCCTTTCATCAGGGTATCCCTTTATATCAGTGCCCCCAGAGACTTGGATGTAAGGGGGTGGGCTGCGATATAAGGGGGATCCCTGGGGAATCTGATGTAAAGGGGTATGCTGCGGACTCAGGCGGGTGCGCAAAGGCACCTCAATGAATATGCAGAACTGAATGCTGGGTAGGGCAGGGACTGGGGAGGCAGCACGAGATTAATTGGCTGCTAGGATGGCGGACGGTCCTAGCAACCAATCACCAGCGGTGTTGTTCTACCCAATATAATAATTCAACTCCCTGCTGGCTGTTGGTGGTTGGTTGCTGATTCATGGAGTGGTGCAGTGACGTGCAGTGGAGTCCGTTCTCGATGAGGCATTTCCCCTCTTTGCTGTCAAAACGGGAATGCACGCCGCCTGTAATTAACAGGCAGCGCTCCGTCCATGACAGGTTACACAGCGGGGACCCCCGGCTTTCCCTGCTGTGTAACCTGCTAGAAGCCGATCTGATTGGAGAAAAAGCTTTCAGTTTCAGATTTGAAGCTGACAGTTTTTTCCTCCATAGTACTAGGTGAGGCTCTGCCTCCCCTGACCACAGGTCCCTGGAGTGGTGCCCCGGCTTCAAGTGGCGTCCAGGGCATGTACCATACATGGCTTGCCCCTGAAATGGAACTGCTGTCAGGGCTTGTGTCAATGGCATCAGTTTGGCATGTTTCTGTGATTATTCTGAATTCACTGGCAGGTGCATGTGACTTGCAGTTGACCTGCTTCAATGGGATTTTGCATTCATATACATTTGTAGGGGAGGGGCTAGGCAACCTGGCTGAGTACCAGAGAATTGCGAGAACCAAGGAAATCTGATTTGACATGTAGCCACTTTACACCACAAAACTGAGGCCCTGAAGGCAGCTGAAATTAAAGGCAAGTTTTATCTTTTCTTGTAAAAGTTCAACTAAACTTCCCAAGCAACAACATTGATTTCTTTAAGGAAAATTAAGATTTCCATATGAATTCTGCAACCCATATTCCTGGAGTTACTGATTGATTGAACAAGGAATTGCCTTTTTGTAGGCACAACCAGGTTTTGTCCAGCTTTCTATCCCTTTTCAAATGATCACCAGGACATACATGGAGGTAAAAGCGGACAATCAATCAGCAATGAAAACCCTAATTCTTTCCTATGTGAAATATTTTTTTTTCCATTAATAAATTAATTAATTTTAATTAATATTTTTTTTTCATTTTTTCACTAGAACAACCTTTTGGTCTGTTACATAAAGCATTACAAGCTGTTTGTTATATCAGTTTGATAAGTGCAAAAAAAACATGACTGTTGACCATGTCAGATTATAAGAGCAGTCCTGTGTCCTGTACACAATTTCTGTGTTATCTCAAGGAGTCTAATTTGCCCTTTTATATCTTATCTTGGACTACAGGATAATTAATGTCTATGTTGTAATGGTGAGACAAGTGGGAGAGTTAAAGTTGTTAAGAAAAAGACAACTGGGCAAAGCTGACACCACTCAGTCCACAAATATTCTCTCAGCCCCCAACAGGTCATAGGATCCGAGTGCATTTCTGAAAGATAAGCTAGTATTTTTCTGCACTTGAAGAGTCTTTTAAAGGGATAAAACATGGGAAAATGTGCATGTATTACAGTGATGCACTTCATTTTTTTTTAATTTTGCCCTGACCTACTCTTTAACTTATTTGTGCCTTTATCCCTGTTGAAATGATCCCACAAACCTTCAGTTATGTTGAGGTCAGGGCTCTGATGTGGCCAGCCATAAAATGAAATCTGCACATTTCTACTCTAATAGGTCTTAATTGTGCTTGCAGTGTATTTGTTGAATGATTACATTTTTGCCAGTTATTTTTCTAAAAGTTTAGCATGATTAAGTCAAAATATTTTTTATTTCTTATTGTTCACTGCTCTGTCAGTTTTGAACTGCTCATCTACAAAGCTGTTGGCAAACTTTACAATTGAAGTAAATGGAGTTTGGGGTGTGCAAACATCAGGACCAAGGTAAAAGAGTAAGCTATGTAAAGCTGGGCACACACCTTACAACCATCGCAAGACTTTTGTCTTGCGATGGTTGTAAGGTAATTAAAAAAACGCATGATCTGCCTATCTTGGACAGGCAGATCGTACTTGCAATGATCGCAAGCCCGCCACTCTTACGGGCGGGCTTCCGATGACCGCAATGGTAAACGGGCAGTGTGCGCTTGCGCACATCGGCCCGTGCGGCTTTTATCTTGCGAACATGCCACACACCAGCAGAAAATCGTACGATGTTCGGCTGGTTTTCGAACATGTTCATAAGATATAAGTCGTGTGACCTGACAGCAGGAGACGTCACACGCCTTCCACACACCTTGCGATAATCGTACGATCGCGGGATTTCCCGCAATTATCGTACGATTATCGCAAGGTGTGTGGGCACCTTAAGGCACTGGGCAGTCCATGCAATGAAGAGCATTAGGAAGCTGCATTTTAGGATAATGTGATCTATAGCAAAAAGAACTGGGGTATAAGAGGTAAAAGAAGGTTACTTATCCTGTGAGATGTGCAGTGCTATATTCATGCAAGTTTGTCTGCATCCTTTATTTCAGGTATTATAGAAAAGCAATTATCGCAATGACATTGCATAACAGGGCTCTCCATCATTATGATATTGCATTAAGCAGTGCTCCATCCAAAGGATACCAAACACTTTCCATCTTGCTTAATACTGATTATTTTGTTTCTGTTTATAGTGTTGATGTCATCCAAGAAAATCCTCCGTATGCATTTTCTTAAAAAAAAAAAAAAAACATTCAAAGAAAAAAAGAATACGTTAGCTTTGAGTCTTTAGGCCTGGTTCACACCTGGGCATTTTGTAGCGCTTTCCTACGCTCTGCAAAACGCTCAAACACCGAAATCCCATTATTTCCTATGGGTATGGTTCACACCTGGGCGTATTACAGGCAGTATGAACGCGCTACAAAACGCCCTACGCCCCAAAGAAGTACAGGAGCGTATTTGCCGCGCGTATCCATTGGGATACAGCCAGGTAGCCCTCGGAAATGCGTGTTTCTTTTTTTTCCGCAAATCGAATTGCGGTAAAAACACGCGACAAAACGCATATTCAATACGCCTAGGTGTGAACCCAGCCTTAAAGCTGCCCCCAAATTAAAAACACAAGAAGAAAGCAGGAAAAAAAATAAAAGAAACATTTTATAAAATTCTCACCTTAGAGCGCAGCATCCATTATGTCGCTAGGCCTTCCTGCACAGTGCTGGAGCATCTTCTCATGAGAATTGAAAACCTCAGCTTTCCCAGGATCCCATGGTAAGGCTCCATGGTTCCTGCGCCCACAGGAAGCAACTTTATGTTGGAGTTGTGGTACATTTTACTCATCAAAAACTAATCAAAAAAGGTGTCGTAGGCTATGAAAGGCATTTTATATGTAAAATTTTATATGTAAAAACATAATGTTTTACAACACTAAGGGGTCTATTTATTATGTTTTCACACATATGTCTAATTGGGTTCAGACCCGAACAGGTGGGTCACATCTGTTGTCAAATAGAAGAGAAAAAAAATCGGATTTGGACAAATTTCACTAATGTAGCAAAGTCTGGTATGGAGTTGAAAATTCTCAATGGTCTTTTGTGTCCAAACACTGCCAAAATAATTAAATAGATACTGGAGCCTCAAGGGCCTAATCACACGTGTGTTGTAGGTGCAGTGTAGTGAAAAAATATAAAAAACATCAGTTGGGCTGACTCAATACAATCGTTTTTTTAAAACAAGCAATTCATATACAAAGAAGAATTGAACAAAAACTCAAATGAATAAACATTCTTCTTCCTGTGGACTTTGATACAGGGACACATCAGAAGCCCAGAATATCACAATGGCAGCCGTAGGCCCCAGTTTGTCCCGACACCAAAGCCAGCAAGTGAAACAAATGGCAAGCGCACTCATCAATTCATAACCCGCTTTCAAACAAGGTGCACACGGAAGGGCTTTACACAGTACAAAAGCAAGTATTTCTCAGCACACTCACTAGCTAGCCTGCAAAAAATACACGCTCTATTAGGGTTAAAAACAGAGGTTTTTAGTTGCACAACTTTTGCAAAATATATGAAAGTCACACTGCCCCGTCACTTTTTCCAGCATGTGGACGCGCACGGGAAAAAAAGTGGCACACTTGTAGTTGAAAATGCTGCATGAGCTATTGTGCTGTGATTGTTGTGTGTGTGGCAGCCTATTGATTGAACGGACTGACGCGTGGCAACTGCTGCAAAAACGTTTGCGACGTGTGAACGGGGCCGGAAGAGGGAATAGAGAGGAATGGGGAGCAGGGAGCAAGAGAGAGGCTTGCCTTGCTGTGCCTGTGTGTTTGTGGAAACATACACAGCTTACTAGCACATAAAAGGGTGGCTCCATAGTACCCTTCAAAAAAAAAAGCCACCCTAAGCAGGGTATCAGGTCCAGTGCTCAGGGAACCAGCTGATTCTGCATGAAACGAAAACTTTCTAACATCAAGGAGCAGCATCCATTGCAAATGGTTTAATCAGCATTAGAAATAGTTTAAAAATCTGTTGACTTTAATATCACTTTAGGAGTGTGCCACCTTCTGCAGTTCCCGGGAAAATCTTGTCACATAATGCACCAGTGATTGTGCCGTGAACTGTTCAATAGGAAGCTTCACATCACATACGATACCTCCCTCTCTCTATCTCCTTTACTGCCAATTGACTGCACAGTGAGGCCGAGGTATGTTCAGAGGGAGGAGGTAGCAGAGGAAAGATGTAAGGTAACAGCGTGGATGAAGCAATCTCCACTGATGGCTATTGTATTCAGGTCACCAGCATCACTGCAGCACCCATGGCTATCTAAATACAATGACACTGCCAAACAGTGCATGCATCTTATAGGATGAAAATACTGTTTGTCTGATAGTTTTCTACCTAGCTCAGTTAGACAATCAACTTTGTCGAGGTGGGTGGTGCTGAGTAAATCACCCATAGCTTGAATTCTGAGCAGCATATGACTGATGGTGCACTGTTCTCTTGCACTTTTTCTGGAATGAGTCTGACCACAGGTAACCCATGCCAGGCCCTGTATAGGAGTACTGCCAGTACCACCATTTTTTGAGCTTGAGGACTGGCAATATAGAACAAAGCCAGCCCCCATCCTCACCCCTATATGTAATCCAGGCCCTGGACTGCTGTTATTGTTTAAGACAGATCCCTGTCCCCAATTTGGGCCATCAGGTCTATGCACATACACAGTCTATGCACAGTGTATAGAGTGTGATGACACCAGGATCCTTACACCACTGCAAAGACTAAAGACTAAATAGCAAGGTTGTATAACTTACTATACATAAACTGTTCCAATGATTTGCAAACATTTAATGCACTTGGTGCACTATAGCTGAGCTAGTAAGCAGGGGGCTGAAGTCACCAGCACCCAGCAGCCCGCAGGAGGAACAACGATCATATACTAAAACCAAAAAAAGGGGAACTAAAAGGGACTTTTGAGACACATAGAACCGTCGTCAAATATCATTAAATGTTTATTTTATTAATACTGCTAAAAATGACCACTCTCATTCCACCATGCATCGAGAAAGAATTATATATATATCATCATGCAACTATTACTTCCTTCAACTAACACGCACGCGTTCCATCTCTATAGCAACTGTCACTTTAGGATCTGCCCACACAAGAAGTCCGCCTCCATGACGTCACTACCGCCCAAAGTTCACAACTTCCGCACTGGGTTACCTCACTTCTGCCAGGCTTGCAGCTGCTGAGTACCGGTGTAATTGTGCAGGCGGCGTGGTCGGAGGGCCACTGCTAGTTGTGCCCCGGATGTGAACGTGCTCCTTTACCCCTTACCGTTCCATAAGCCAGCGGGCCCTTGGAGACAGCACCATGTTCAAAAAGTGAGTGTGTTAGAGCTGAAAGGTACCATTCGCGACTACAACTGAATCTATTCTAGCCACAGGCAGTCTGAGCATGCAGAAGCATTTCCCAATAGACAGGGCTTGGCATTCTAAGTCGGTCAGATACAGTGCTGACCATAATGGCACTTGTGGGCCAGAGCCCAGGCCAGCAGGGTTGAATGTGGAGAAAAATACAGTTATGTAATATTTTACTTTTTATGTCCCTGATCAAGAGCAAGAGATCTGTAGGAGGAAGGGGTGCAGGGGATGTGGAGAGTAATGAAAAGGCATTTCATAGGTTAAGGAATGTGAAAATCTTTAAAGGAGAACTATGGGGTTAAGGCTTTTCCCCATAGTTCTCCTAAGGGTAACGGGAGGACACAAACTAGCGTCCTCCCATCCCCCTAAACTCAGTATACCGCAAGCTGCAGCTCACGGTATACTGAGACGCCACAGTACACCGCAAGCTACTGCTCGCAATATACTGTGATGCCGCAGCTGAAGCGGATCCCGACGATTATGTCTGGATCTGCCCAGCTGCGTGAGTGACAGCTGGCTCTGCCTATCTAGAGGCAGAGCCAGCTGTACCCTCCCCTGTCCAATCCGCCAGTCAGCGGAGCGGGAAGGGGGGAATCCAGCCCCTTCCCTGTCACGGCAGAGAGCTGTGACAGGATCGAGAGGTGAGCGAACGCCGGTATGTGTTTGCTCACCTCCTGATCTACTGAGCCAACCTGTGACAGTCTCATTGTCACAGGTTGGCTAGAACTATGAGGTGAGTGAAAAGCACTCACCTCATAGTTCTCCTTTAAAGTATCGCCTTGTATTATTTTTTTTGCAACCCATTCACGCAACTCCCAGAGTGTATGTTGCTTTTTATCTCATGCTTCTGTGTGCAGCAGAAGCTGAAATGCAGATGGTGACAGCCCCACCATTCCAAAGGAGATGGCCTCTTGATTGACAGCTCTTGTCTCACTATCTTTGCACTTTCTAGACACAAGTGAGGTCACAGGAATGGGGGGAACCTTGTTTTGCGCCGGGAAAACGCAGGGACAGCAAGACAAAAGCTGTCAATTTAAAAGGAGCAGTCAATCAAGCGGCCACCTCCTTTGCAGAGTGTGGTTGGGAATAAGGAAGGGGGTGGGGGTGCTGTCAGTCTAGATCTCAGCTTCAAAAAGCAGCTTATACTGTGCGGTTTCAGTTACTAAGCTGTGAAAAAATAATACAAGGTGAGATGACATCCTTAATTTCACTAGTGGTCTGTATTGATGAAAAGCTGTCCTGTACATACAGTTCATTCAAATGGATAGCCAGTACATCACATGATCAGTGCTACAAGGGGCAGGGAAAAGACCTAGCCACCATTTGTTGCTGTACATAAAGTGGACTGCTTTAACGGCCATTGCTAAAATAATCACATTGCAAGGGGTAGAGCTCGTACACAAAGCTGGTATAATTCTCTAAAAGGTTCCATTTGTCTGCAGCACAAGGGAGAGTCAAGGCGCAGCTCTCGCACAGATTGCAGCAGTCCGGGTTTCCGGCATTCTGACACTTCCCCCTGCACAGTGCTCCAACAAACAACGTTTATGCTTCCTGAGCAGCGGTGCTGATTGGAGTACTGTGCTTACAGTTTCAAGCACACACTGAGTAAAAAAATAAATAATGCCTGATTGCATAAAGAGTAAAAAACTTGAGGCTTCAATTGGGCTTTAAATGTATTTTTTTTCAAATTCGGCTATTAACATTTATTGTAATCGCCTGTACAGCAAAGCACAGCCAGGGTGCCAAGTTGTCTCTTATGCTAACAAGGAACATGGTGATAGGAGGAGAGAGCAGACTGACAGATTAACTTATTAGTCTGCTGCTTCACCTTTCACTGTCCAGTCACAAGCTGGGGGAGTGACAAGGTATGTAATAGATAATTAACTACAGTGCAGGTCTTCTGTCCTGCCAGACAGCACTGTGCTGTGCGACAGAGCTGTGTAAATCTCAGAACTGAAAGGCCGGAAATACAAAACCCTTGCCGGGTAAAACTGCTCACCTATTTCAACTGTGTATTAAATTGGAAGTTAAGTCTTTTCATTTAAAAACTTCTGTCAGCACTTTTTTGTTTCTGTTCACTGAGTTTCACATGCACAGCTCGGTGCACAGGCTCGGCAGGATTTGTGCTGAAATTAAGTAACTTCTGTACACAGGAGTCACAGCATTGGGGTGCAGCCAAACAAGTGGCTTAGGACTCATAGCCCAGAAGACCAGGACAAAGATGGAATCAGGAAGATGTTCATCATCTAGCCATGTGGCCTGCTAATGTCTCGTGCCACTGGTTCCCCGCACTTTCCATGCTAATAATAATGGTCTCCTGGGCAGAAAATAAAGGGAAATCATCCCAATGTCGATACAGATCATAATAAAAACCTGGCAAATATAATAACCCTCCCTCATTGCTTTCTAAAGTAAAGAAGTGTTTGGGCTGGAGTTAAACTTTCGATATATATTTCATTTGGTTAGAATTGGATATATTTTGAAGCCTCTTCAGGTATAGGTACTGTTTTGTGCCAATGTGATTTTAATGTTTTATTCAATGTGCTTTCAGATTTGATGAAAAAGAAAATGTGTCCAACTGCATTCAGTTAAAAACTTCAGTAATAAAAGGCATTAAAAACCAACTGAATGAACAGTTTCCAGGAATAGACCAATGGCTTAACCAGATTATGCCAAAAAAGGACCCTGTGAAAATAGTGCGATGGTAAGTGGTACACAGCTCTGCACTGTTGACTGTTGGATGTTTAAGGGTGATGTGGGATATGCAATCTGGTCCCTGGTGACACCTTACTAGTGACCGAATTAATAAATGACCATTTGCCTTTTCCTATGAAATTGCTCTCTCACTGACTAATATCGCTCCCTTGCAAGATTCTGCAGCCTTACCGCCCAGCGAGAGAGCGACTTATCAGGGTAAGTGGTTCCCACACCTGGGTGGCTTTGCCACTGCTAATGTGTCATCAATTGCAGATCCTTCCGTCTGACATCACCTAGCTGTTTTTTATCTCCTGGAAAATCTAATGGCAAGATATATATTTGCCATTGGGCTGCCCCCCCCCC